CAGTGAGAGGATACACAACAGGATAAGGAAGGGATAAATACTCAGGTGGAGTCCAGAGAAATTCATACACAGGCTTCGGTCGATGCTCTCTACCTACCATAAGAGAACACACCAAGCATGCTCTTTTCCCTCAGCAGTAAAATATGTGCAGTGTTTCTGCAAGATGCCCATTAGAGGCTCAGAGCATTAGTTTAGTTAGACTTAGTTTGCTAGGACTGTCATAACAAAGTTTCACAAACTGGGTGGCTTATACAACAGAAATGTATGTTCTCATAATGCTGTAGGCCAGAAGGCTGAGATCAAGGTGTCGGCAGGATTGGTTTATCCTGAGGCCCCTCTCCTTGACTTGTAGATGGCCTTCTCCCCATGTCTTCACATGGTCTTTACTCTGTGCCTGTCTGTGCTCTAATCTCCCCATAAGGATACCAGTTATGTTAGATTAGTGTTCACCCTAGTTACCTCATTTTAACATCAGTACCTTGTTAAGGACCCTCTCTCCAAATATGGTCACATTCTGAAGTACTGTGAGTTAGGATTTCAACACATGAATTTTAGGTAGACATAATTCAGCCCATAACAATTCTAAATGCCTAGATAGAAAGCACGTATTCAGCATAAACCACATTGTTTTCACAGTCTAGGTAGAGTGAATCATCATTATTCATTTGTAAATGGTTCGACTGCCAAGTTTCTAGATGCCAGCCCAGAAATAATCTTGTAAGCAGGCTTTTCTGAACAATAGTATCAGGCTACTGTCTTAACTCTTTTTGTACACAGTTAGGTTGACAAGTTCAAGATTATTGTTAATTTGTGATATAGGTATTTTAGGTCAAATATATACGATGTATGACAATTAAGTTTGTGAACTCATCCTAGAAAAAGTGCTACCTCAATGCTGAGTATCACTATGGTCACCTCCGAAGTACTCCCCTTGGGAAGCTATGCACCAACGCCAGTGCCTAGTCCACCCTTCAAAGCAATTTTGGAACTCTTTCTAGAATGGCCATCATTACCCTTGATGTCTTGGAATGTCATTAAAATGCCTTCCTTTCAATATTTCCTTTATCTTTGGGTAAACAAAGAAGTCATTGGAGGCCAGATCAGGTGAATTGGGAGGGTGTTCCAATACAGCTATTTGTTTACTGTAAAAACTCCCTCACAGACAGTGGTGTGTGAGCTGGTTCATTGTCGTGATGCAAGAGCCATGAATTGTTGGCAAAGGTCATCTAACTTTTTCATGCAGCCTTTATAGTACTTCCAAATAGCAAACACGGTTAACTGTACAGTTGGTACAAATTCATAATGAATAATCCCTAGATATCAAAAAATAATCAATCTAGATATCAAAAAAGGTTAGCAACATCATTGCAACAAGTTTGTGAACTCAATTGCCCAATTTCATATATTATTATATGTTAGCTACATTTTAAATAAAAATTAGGGGAAAAAGCATTGTCTAACCACCCAAAGGATGAAAAGAACATCTGCAGATAGTGGTGCAGCAATCTCTACCATTCCAGCCATCCCAGCTGAGGGCCTGGAAATGTGGGTAAAGCCATCCTAGATAACGCAGCCCTATCTGAGCCCGCCAAGGCCAAAAGAAGTTCCAGCTAACCCAGAGAGTTGTGAGAAATAATAAAATAATTTTTAAAGCCATTAAACTTTGTGAATAGTTTGTTATGAAGCAAATACCAAAAAATTCAGTCTCTGAAAAGATCCCAAACTCCATAAAACTTCAGACATGTACTCTTCTCACATCTCTAAGAATGAAACAAATCCTTCTTTACACATATATATCACAGATTGCTGCCTATCTATTCTGGCTTCCCAACTGCTTTCCTATTTGATATGGGTTTTTTAGGGAATTTATTTACTTCTCTGGCTTAACTCTCCCCTCCGGAATCCAAGCTTGTCATCTACCCTTGTCAACTTCACAACAGCAATCACTTCCTCCAACTCTGTTGTTTTGAAAGTAGATGAAATGAGGAAGAACCAAAAGGTAAGACAATGTTGTCTCAAATGTTTCTCAATCCATTTTGTTCCCTTCATTCCAATCGCCTTTGGATCAGTAGTTCAGTGCTTGATTGTTTCTTGCCCATATGACTAAATATCATGAAGTCCCCCAGGCCTCCAGTCTCTCTCCCACAAATCCACCCTGCATAGTGTCTCCAGAGTAATCTAAAATTAAAACCTTTCAATGGGTTCTCATTCAGGTCTATCTAGGACAACAAAAATATACTTAGGGCTTACGAAATGCTTGCTAGGCACTACTGCTAACTGCTGTGCATATAAACTTGAATGAGCAAAAACCTGCTCTTAAAGAGTTTCCATTCTATTAAAGGGATGCTGACAGGTAAAGAGATATTTTTTATGTAATGTGAACAGCACTCTGTGGAAGGAGGCACAGAGGAAGAGAATTGGCAAAAGCTTAGACTGTCAGAAAGCCTTTCTGGAGCTAACAATACTTGAGCAGTCCTGAAGGCTGATTGAAGTTAGCCAAGCAATAATGTGCAAAGGGGTGCCAGGCAGAAGGAACAAAATAGCAAAGACACAGAGACTCAAATCAGCAGGCTCAGTGTAGGGAACCGACTGCAAACAGTCCTACATCACTCCAGGATCAACTTTGAAAGGTGCTATAGGGAAGTTGTGTCTTAGAAAGGGAGAAAATGGTTGTGATAGGTAGTATGACATCCCCCAAAGGTGTCTACATTTTAATTTCCAAGACCTGTCAATGTTATGTTTCATAGCTATAAGGAATTAAGATTGCTGATGGAATTAAGGTTGCTATTCGACTGACCTTGAAAATGAAGAAATTATCCTGAGTCATCTAGATGGGCCCAGTGTAATCAAGAGATGTTTAATTATGGAAGAGGGAGGCAGAGGTATGAGTTAGAGAGAGATTTGAAGATTCTACACATTGGATTTGAAGTGGGAGCAAAGGGAAGCTTCTAGAAGCCAGAAGGAGTAAGGCCATAGATAGTGCCCTATAGCCTCCAGAAAAATGCAGCCTTGCCCACCCCTTGATTTCAGCACAATGAGATTCATTTCAGACTGCTGACCTCAATTATCATATGTGTTTGTATTGTTTTAAGCTATTAAGATTATGGTAATGTTTTTTACAGCAGTAATAAGAAACTAATACAGGGACCAGGTCACAGAGGCTGTGACATGCTTTGTGCTTAGTCTTCTTGGGGACACTTAGAGGTTTAAGAACAGGGTAGAGAAATGACAGCAAAGATCAACTTGACAAAAGATGGATTGTTGGGCTAAACGGTGGCAGGGAGATGCTGTAAGTTTATGGTAATCACACAGACCAAAAAAAAGAGTGGTAGAGTGATTTAACTGGGTGAGTACTGTAGAGATAGATAAAAGAGAACCAATTAATTTCAGTGATAAAATCAGTAGGACCAAGGGATCAAATGAATGTGGAGAATAAGGGGAAAGGGATGTATCTAGGAGCATTTCTCTGTTTCTGCTTGGGAAGATATTGGTATTGTCACTGAGATGAAAAATGCAGAAAGAAGAACAGGGCCTTTGTTGCATCCTGTTTTGGTGAAGGGGGTGGGTTAAAATTTGAGTATGCTGGATTTGACATGATTGTGAGGCATCCGTGTGGGGAGCTGGCAATGGACTATATCCCTTGATTATATTTCAAATGTAGGAAACCTAAGTGTATGAGTAACATGAAAACAAATAGAGCAGATGAAAAAGTAGAGTATATTGATTAAGAAACTGTCTCTGGGAATACTATTTAATAGTAAAATTTTTTTAATCTTGGAAAAAAAGGGTAATTATTGATAAGGCTGTTATAAAGATGAAATGTGATATCTAGTGCAGTATCTAGAATTAGTAAATTCTCAATAAATGGTAGATATTACTACTAAAGGGAACAACAGTGGGTCAAGGAGCCTAAGAGGCTACATTCATATTCCTGAAATCAGGTAGTCTCTGCCCTTAACTAATCACAGTCTCCTTATCTGCCTGAAGAAAGGGGTCATATTTTACTCACTGCTGAATCCTCGGTGCCCAACTCAATGACTGGCACAAAAGTGTCAGGCACTATATAAATTTTGGCTGGATGGTTGAGAGGGGGAGAAAGAGAGATATCGGAGAAAGCAAGGGAGGCAGAGAGGAGGCAGTAGGAGAGAGAGGAGCAAGCTAGAAAGAAAAGAGGGAGACTATAGGGGGGAGGACAGGCGGAAGGCAATGAGCCCATAAGAAGGCCAATGTATGTCATGCAGGATCTGGAGAGGGAAGAAGTCGTGGGGGCCTGAGACAGGGTGTGGTCATAGTGTCTATGAGGGGAACATAGAAAGCCAGGCCTCCAGACCTAGAACGAACCATGCAATCATTCCTGGATTTTATTATTATTATTATTATTATTATTATTATTATTATTATTATTATTGTTATTATTATTATTTTATTGTGAAATACACATTTTTTAGAATTAGTTTCAGCTGTACAACAGTGCAATAGTTATACTTTTTACCCCTCGAAGTGACAACCCCCCTCCCCCAATCCGCCATCCCACTTCCCCTCCCCCCAATATCCTACATATCTATTACAATTCCCTTGACTCCACTCATCCCTGGGTTTTTTTGTTTGTTTTTGTTTTTGTTTGTTGGTTTCAGACCCATATCTCCTTGGAGGCCAGGTGAAATTAGCCAGCTATGTGATTTTTGATTTGGTCCGGCTGAGGGGTGCTGATCTCAGAGGGAAATAATATTCCGACAGTGGCCGCTTAGACCAGGCCCTTAGGACGGATTTCCTCAACTCTGGGTGCTCAAGCCTCGAGCACTAGGTGCCCCCCTCTGAGGGCTCCGCCCTTCTGGGGGCCTCAGGTTCGGGCCTGGAACGCTGCGGGAGCGGATCCTAGAGGACGCGCGGGGTACTGGTCATTCCTGGTCCGGTCAGGACCGAGGGACGGCGACAGGGAAGGGGTGCGAGGAAAGGCGGGCGGGGAGGGCGGCAGGGAGGCACCAGGGCCCCGGCCCACGATGGAGCTGTACCTCAGCGCCTGCTCCAAGGCTGCCAGCGTCGCCGCCACCAAGACGGCCACCAGCAGCCTGGAAGCAGACAGCCAGGAGTGCGGAGATGTGAGTGGCATGAGGTCTGGTGTCACTGTCCTGGGCCAACTGCCAGGGCGGGTGGGGCAGGGAGAGCGCCTGACAGGTCCCGCGCTTGGTAACCGTCGGCTTCTGGTGCCCTGGTGCGTCGCGGCGGATGGCAGTGGCCACAACTGGCTGGTGGCTTGGAGACAGGTCTTCAGGGATGTCTGGCAGGGCGGGCCCGACACTTCCTGTGTGGCCCTTCAGTTCCTTTGGTTAAAGTAGGAGTGGATTGGCCTAAGCTAAATGAGTAATGCCTAAGAGGAAAGATACAACTCACCAATTGTTATCTGACAGGGTGCTCACAAAACCCACTTTCCCGGGGTCGGAGCGGCTCAGCTACTGGATCTGCCTCTTGGGGTCAAGCTGCCTATGATCCCAGGAAGCAATACTTTATACTATACTACGAAGTTAAGTGAAAAGGTAAAGCTGATTTTGTGTTAACGTTGGTTGTCTTTGCCCTTTCCTACTTGCTGTTCAAGTCAGGCACTACATTATACAAATCCATGAAGGGAATTTACATTATTAACATTCGCAGGGAAAAAAATAATCAAATGTACATTTAAACTAAAGTATTGTTTAGGATGCATACCAAGCAACTGCATCTAGTGTGATTTGGACGGAACCAGGGTCTAGAAAGCTTAGATTCTTAGTTCAGTCTTAATTTGTAATTTATGAAAGCATATTAACTTTCTTTTATAATAACATTTAATATATACCTAATCATTGCATTTTATTTACTTTGAAATGTTTGTTTAAAAGGTGGAGGGTTATTGGTGCTGGCTGGCATTTAATTATATGTTATGATTTTTACCAATAATAACTTGGACAAAACTCTCATTACGAATCACTTCTCTATAATTTTGTTTTGAGTCAAATTCTCATACAAAGAAGTGAGAAAAAAGTAGAGTTGAATGGGTTAACATGTTTAATACTTTAACCTTACTTTAATGGAAGAGGCTGTGCCTTGCTAAAGAGAGACTATGATTTGCCCTAACTTTTCTACCCAGTCTTTTCTCCAACTCTGTACAGAGCCTCAGCTTGACGTTGAGGTCTTGTATATGTGCTCACACATACCATGTCCATGCTTCTGTGCCTTTGTTCACCTTGCCTCCCAAACATGGCATACCCTCTCATCTTCTCCTCAATCTATGAATTTCAGCCATCTTTCAAGATTTTTTCTGAACTATCATAGCCCCCAATTAGCTTATATTTCTTTAGAATTTTCATTGCCCTTGGTTTGCATAATTTTACTTAATACCATAATTCTATAATTACAGTTTTATATCTTAAATCATACTGGGTTATGTGTACTTCCCTCAAACCCTTATATGTTTTTAGTCCTCAGTGCTATTCCTACCCTTGAATCTCCCCTGTCCTTGACTCAGTAACTAACACTGAAAGAGGTTCAGTACATTCTTGTTGAGTGGTTGCTTTGATTAATATTGCAAAAAATTCTACAAGGGAGAATTCTGAGTCACCCCCTTACTTTTCTATTGTCTATGACATCATTAGAAATGAGTAGAGTCCCTTGGTATTTGCTACTTGCCTAAGAAACATGATTTCTTAAAGTAAGTTTTATTCTGGAAAATATTTATGTTTAAAAACAAATATGTTCTACTAGACTAGAGTGAGCTAGCCTCACACAATTTAACTGAGTCACACTCACACAAACTAGCTTTCCTAAAGTATGTTTGAAAGCTGTATCGCTTTTCTTTTGTGTAGAATCTTAGCCCTGTCTTTCTTTTCTCTGCATCCTCAAATGTATTATTTGTTGTGTTATCTTTTTCTGTTGAATATTAATTCACCACTTGTCAACTACTTTTTTAAAAAGATGTTCTCTCCATCCTTTATTACATTAATTCCCTCAAAACTGTCTCCATTTAATCATAATTAGGCACCAGACTATTTCTTTGAACACTGAATTTGTAAGGGCTTTCTATTTCTTTCAGTACAAGCTCTTCAATGAAGTAATGCTTTATATTTACACTTACATTTACATTTAGTTTTGTTTGTTTGTTTAATTTTTTAAAGAGGGGAACCACTTATTTTAGTTGACAACAGAAGGGTTACCCTGACTCCAATGAATGGATTTGTTTAAAAAGGTGTTCTTTGTTTATAGGTCAGTAGCCCAGGTTTGGTCTTCAGAGACATCTCATCACAGATAAAAGTCAGTATCTAAAAGAGGTTGACATCTAAATGGCAACAGCTAAAAGAACCAATCAGTCAAATCCTTGACTCATGATTGTTGGTTGTTTCCCTCACAGGAAAGATATGGGCTTCATATCTGTCTCACTGAATTCAAACATTGCCTTTTAGAATTCCTTCCTTTGCCTTCTCAGTGAAGCATTGGCAATTAAGGAGTTGCACTTTATGAGTTAGGCTGCTTGGAAGGGATTAAATGGAAAAAGAAAGCTAGCATCCTATCAAGTTCCATCAATCTGCCCCTTTGCCCACATAAGAAGGATCCTCCCACTTCCCTTGAGGGAGTTCATTTTAGGATCCCATCCAGCCAGGCTCCCTACTTTTCAGAATTTAACTGAGTTGGATACTGCCAGACAGAACAACATGGAGGTCACAAATTGGTTCTTGCAGACAGGTCAGGATTGTGGGGTCTTATAAATTGAATTGGATGCCTGCAAACAGGGCAGGTGCTCTCAGGTTTGCCACATCTCTCACACATTCCCGCTGCCTTTCACGTGAGCCAGTTCCTGCTTTGACGTTACTGTAGACTAAAACTTCTGTTGTTCTGGCAGAAAAAAAAAAATTAAAGAAAAAATGTAAAGATATTCTTCCACACCTACTTCTACCCTCCACTTCTTCCCTTTCAGAGGTTCTCCCATAATGCATTAACGCCATCAGCTATTGAAAAGTGGACTAAGAACTCACACCAAAGAAACAAAACTAAACAAAACAAAAAACACCCTCACTTTATTATGTTTTCATTTACAAATGAGATTAAATAACTGAGCTGTTTCTTCTAAAGTAACAGATATAGAAACATGACTATTAGCTGATATTTTCCTTCTTTTATTTCTTAATGGCTATTGTACAGGGTTGTATTTGGCCTTTACACATAAGGAGAGATCTCAGTTCCTATCAATATCCTTTATAACTGGTTATTCAATATTTTGAACTTTATAATATAGGTCTTGAATTTTTTCCTGACTGTAGTACTCAAACATTGTTGAGTTTCTTGTATTAGATAAGACCCCGAGATAAAAACTCTTCAATCTATTTTTAATATCTGTTTTACTTCTACTATTTTTTATGAAGTTATTTCCATGAATCTTGGTGAAAAATTTTCTATTTTTCTTCATTTTTCAGATATTGAGATATAATAGTCAATTAATAGTATCCCTTTACCCTTTGAATATAGTGCCTTGACCGGGGAGGGGGAGGAGGAAAATGGAGAATCTTAACATTAGCTTTATACATTAAAACAAATTTTATCCTATTCTCTTTCTTTTCCTCTCTTCCTTTCTTCTCTGGCTCAGAGCCAGGAAATGATGGAGATAAGAGGAGGAATTAATTGAATGAGGGTGGATTTTTAGGTCAGTGGAATAAAAAAATGTAGGAATAAGCAATTAATGTTTCTCAATGGAAATCTTTCTGTTGCTGGTTTTTTCCCACTTAAAATTACTCTTGCATATTTTATTTTTAATGAACATTCTATTCATTTCAACAGGTTGATACTTAAATGTGAAATTCCTTAATTTTACATTTGTCATATTTTTAAATCTGTGTTTGCAGCTTTTTCGACCTTCTTATGGTTTTAACCTGACTGATCCTTATTGTCGACTTATGGAAAATCAATATAAAAGTCTCCATGATCCACATTTAAGAGAATACTATAAGCGCAAAGATATCCTGAGGAGATTAAAGAAAGGTGGCTACATCACCAGCAATAATAAAGTGGGTCGAAGATTACTTCTTTTTAATCATTAAAGACCTCCAAGACATAAGCTTGTTTCTATACCTCACAGTGATGGGGGTGGAGTATCACCTTTAATTTGGTCATGAGAGATACTTAATGGGAAATTCCATATACTTAGTATTTGGGCCAATGGAAACTGGACCATAGTTGTTTCTAAATTATACTACTTTCTTTACCTTTTTTCTTTGTAATACCAAAAGATGATTACTAGATAACTTGGGGATGTAAAGGTAATTTCCCTCTTTCTCTATCCTAATGGCACTCTATGCTTGTCAAGGATTATGTCCTATACACTTTTAAAAACTTGAGACAAAACAGGAACGTAAAATCAGCCTGATAGAATCTTGATAGAACATGAGAATAGTCTTATATTCTAATTTGTATTAAACATTATTATTACATTGGTATTTTATATTAAACTACAGCTGTGTATACTAAATTCCTTATCATGGTATAAGTCATATTAATAAAGTAATGAGATTTGGATAGAAATTTCCTTAGTTTAATAATTGTGGAGATATACTACTTACAAAAGTGATAGCAATTTGTTACTCTTGATTCCAAAATACTATCAAATTGTGTATTATTAACTATTTTTCTTCCTGAAAGTGATTGCTATGAGTTTTAAATATTTATATTTATATATATTTCTATTGTTGTTTTGTTTTTTAGATTGTTTGTAACTTGCGGGAATTGAATATGTACAGACAATATCTTACGAGTTTAAAATTAGACTTTGAAAGAAACTATATAAAAGAACAAGTAAGTTAAATAGTTAAATTTGGTTTCTTACACAGCGCTTAGAAGAAAGGTTTATTTGTATGCAAAGTATTTTCTTATAATCTTTTTACCTTTAATTTTGACAAAGTAATTAAATTTTTTTTTTCCAAATGAAAATTTAGAGCAGGAACAATATTTTCAGGTTGCTATATTGGGCCAAGAAAGGGAAAGGGGCCAGGTCATCTATTCATGTGCCAGTGGGAGCTGGCATAATTTAGTAATTAAATTGCTACTCCAATGTGTTCCTTCCATTTGAACTGGGGCCTATAGGAAGAGTCTATGTGGCAGCAAGACTCTTAATCTGGAACCCAAAACATTCTGAGTACCAGGAGAGGAACAGTATGAAGAGTTATCACAGGTAACTCAGGGAACATGTATGCTGTGTGTTTGTACCCACGTACATGCAGCTGTGTTCATCTAGTATAAAATGATATTCTAAAGGAGAAGTGGAATGACTGGGTATAGAGTGAGTGGGTATAAATAGTGACTTCCTTTTAATTTTTTACTCAAAGTGTGTGTGTGTGTGTGTGTGTGTGTGTGTGTGTGTGTGTGTGTGAGTGAATTGAGGTTTTAGGGTCAAGAGAGTTGAAGTAAAATGAGAAAGGTGTGTGTATATGTACATTTATAAATTTATGTTCTAAGGTTGACAGTGTTGTGTAGAAATGAGAATGACTTACCTATACCTTTAAGTGTTCAATATTCCCCCGCATTGCCCCCTCAGTGCCTAAAGTTTCTCCTCGCCTTCCTCCATATTTTCACTTAATTTTTTCTGAATGTGTAGAGATGTATGATGAAATAGCTATCTTTTATTTTCAGAAAGAGAAATCTTTACTTTGGTTCAGTTGTCCATGTCTGAAATGAATTAAAAATAGATTTAAATGCAGTTAAGCAGAATTAGCTATTTGCAAAGTCCAGGAATTTTACTAAACACTAAGTATAAAAAGGTGTTAAAAGGACAGTTTTATTTCTATTAAGTGTAAAAAATATTATATATGAATATATGTACATGTGTGTGTATGTGTGTATCTCATATATACATATGCATGTATATGATATACACTTTTTTATAGAAAATGCTTGCAAAACAAGTAAATAAACTACAAGAAAACAATCAAATACCTGGACATTCTGATGTCACACAGTTCCAAAACTGGCTGTTACATGAGGACGTTCAATCTGTTAAGGACCCGGAACGATTAATAAGGCACAGGTAAGATTGACGTGAATGCATATTTTATGTATATATTGTGGACCCGAATAAGTTGAAAAGTACTACAAAGAATTGAAGTTAGGAATTTTTAAAAAGTACTAGACAATACCTAACTCCACCATTGCCCTCAGTATGGAGACAAAGGGAGACCAAGAGGTACAGGAATAGAAAACTTTGGTGCCAAGGCTGATGAAGAACAATTTCTACCAGAAAAGACAGGGTTTCTGGGAGTCCAAGAAGTAATCAGATCCAAATCCTTCCCATAGTTGCAGGTGGAGGGACATTATCTTTTAGCACATGCCTCTAGCAATGGCTTTTTATGATTCATGTTTAAGGGCTGACAGCATTAAGTTTGAGAAAGTTAGTGCAAAGTCAAAAATGGAAGTTTACTATAGCTATATAATGCTAATATAAATATGCATTGTCCCTAAAAGAAAAACGTGTCAACTATTCAGATGTGACCTACTCATGTTCAATCTTTACCATTCTGTGGTCAAGCTCATATCTTAGGAAGTGAATGGATATTATAGTTCTTTTTTCTCCTTCATTAAGGTAAGAGATTGGACTGCATAGCGTGACTTTTATATTCTGTGGCTTCATTTTGTTGTAGTTCTGTAATGCATATTGACATACCAGAGACCCAGACTATATATATGCAAGATTTGTTCAAGACTTTGCAAATTACATGGGACACAGTATACATCTTTCTCTTAGGAAATTCAAATCTGTTTTTTTCTAGATGCGAAATCAATGTTTCAGTTGTTTCAGCCTTCTTTGCAAACTCATATTCCTTAACCTGCTGAGCTATGAATATTACTGTGAAAAATGTTTTTTATGAGTTTGCTCCACATTTTACCATTGTTTTGGCCATAAGAACAGATACTTATGTGGTAGGGAGATCTGTATAACAAGTGAAATATGGTAAGAGCTAGCTTACAGGTCCATGAACAGAGTTGATAGAAAAACTATAAAAGTCCTATAACTCAAGAAATAAAAAGCAAGCAAGAGGTGATTTGAGCATATCACAGCAGCTGATGCCATTTTAAGGGAAACACCCAATTCACCTTCCTTGCCTCTACACTTTTAATTAGATATTTGGATATGATAAGTAGGGAATTAGAACAACGTGAGCACACAGCCGAGGAGCAGCGCCTACTGCAGATGGATAAAGAAGAACGACGACAGCGGGAAGAAACAAGAAGAAAACTTTGTCTTCGTAGAAAAATTGAAGAGGTGAGACATAAACTTAAAATATTGAAAGAAAATTTGTGTACAGTTGTTTCACTTGTAAATAATTTTAGCTGTCCATCATACTTCTTGAAGTCATTTCAGGTCTAAATAATTTACCCACATTAATCTTACCTCATATAAAACAATGAAGCTGACACCACAGAGTATATACCATAGATACACACACATACACACACACACCAGTATCTACTCTTGATTGTGATGATTGAGATGATTGTGAAAGTTACTAGACACTATTTAACTCCATTATAGTGTGGGAAGGTCATTTTTTTTTTGATAATTACCTTTAGTAAAAACTAATCATGCCTGCATTCCTAATCTGAGTGCCGTAAGGAAAGCCCATTCGAAAGCCAATGTATGACCTTCATTATGCTTGACCTGGTTTCTGTTAGGCTCTTAACTTCTAATTTGCTTGCTGGTGGGGGACAAAATACAAGGGTTTATTGTAAGCACGGAGTAGAGTAACATTGTGCTCTGTAGGAATGGAAGACAAAAGAAATGTTACTTCTGACAAAGATTGGAGAAGACATTAAAAGAGAAGCTAGGATAGAGGAACAACGGCGTAGAAGCAGAGAAGAAAGTGACAGGAAAGTATGTTTAACTTTAACCTCTAATTTGGGAGAAGCTTTTGCTAGTTTCGATTTTTGAAAGTATGCTATATAAGATAACAATGGATCAGTTACTCAAAATAATATGCTTTATACAAAACTGAAAGTTATGAAAATTTGTGCTATATTTTGACTATATTATATTCTGACTATAATATAAGAAGTACTACCCTACTATTTGATATAACTGCTTTTGACTTTATCTCACACCATAAACTATACTTGTAATTCCTATAGAAAAAAAATGACATAACTGATTTTACCTTAGAATCAAAATTTCTTGGAAAACATTCTCAATTTTCCCCCACCAGTTAATGTTTTAGAGTGATGGCTTTTATTTTTAAATGATATATAATATTTTATGATTTTGAGTCTAATCAGTATAAAGGGAAAGAGAAATCATTTGTAATTCCAGCACCATACTAGTAACTTATTGATATACACACACACACACATACACACACACACAACTAGATAACACACATGCACACACATACACTTGCATAACATTTCTATGAATGTTTGTATATTCAAATAAATAAAAAATAGATTCGTGTTATTATAACTCATAGGCTCTTTTGTAGATTGCTTTTTCATTTAATAAAATAACATTGACAACTTTCCATGTCAATAAATGTTGGTCTACAATTCTAAATCATGGGCAGTTTATTTGTGACAAACCTAGATGTAACTGTAAGATTTACATGACATGGTTATATTTATATATACTGCTATATAGCAAGTTTTTTAAATATTGGACATTGAAATATGTATGATATTTTATTCTACTTTTGTTACATGTACCTTTTAGCATTGTCAGGGACTTACTGCTCATATATAGCAAGTTCAGCTTAATTCAATGTACTGTAATTATTATAGTCTAATATTAAATTTTTCACCACTTTTTTCAGTGGGAGTTCCCTCCATGTTGATCTTTCTTTTTTCCACTTCCAAACCTCCCCAAAAGTATCTTTGTTTTTGGAGAGCAACAAAATTCCCCAGGTTTCCTCTCATTTTTGCCTGATGCCAATTACTAGTCAATGAGTCCTGGACAATTTTAGTGGCAACTAGTGCAATGGATTAAATTGTGGCACTGGGAGTGCTCATTAGACACGACCACGAATGGGAGGCATGGTGACACCACAGGCTGCTCAAGCCATGTTAATGGCAGAGCTATTTGAAGTATTGATAGTTCCAATGGAGTTATTCTAAATTGTCTTTTTTTAAATCATTTTTTAATACAAGAGGCTTTCAATTCATTTGTGTGTGTTTCTTATTTTTATATATTTTTGTTTCAGATTTGACATTATGTACTTTTTTACTCCAAATTATGAGCTTAAATTACAGTTTTAAAAATCTTTAAAGGAGTTTGCATTTTTGTCAAAAAATCAGTTATATCACTCTTTTTTGTCCTTTAACCTATTTGTCTAATTTAAATTACTGATTATTGTATATTTAATCATTCTTTAAATCAGTAGTGCTAGACTTCCAAGTTTGTTCTTCATTTTCAAAGTTGTTTTGGCTAATCTAAGCCCTCTAACATTTCCATATAAACTTTAGAATCAGCTTGTCAATTTCCACAAAGAATTCTTGCTGAAATTTTAATTAGAATTTTGTTGAGTCTATAGATCAGTTTAGGCACAACTGATCTCTTGATAATACTAAGTTTTCCAACTCATGAACCAAATATGTCTCACCATTTCTATAGGCTTCCTTAACCTTTCTTATCAATGTTGTGTAGTTTGCAGTGTACAGGTCTTACACATCTTTTTCATAGATTCATCCTTAGGTATTTAATAATTTTTATTCTATTATAATTTGCATTTGCATTTTGAATTCTGATTTTATGTTAGTATACAAAAAAGCAATTTTTATATTCATCTCGTATCCTGCATTGTTAAAATCACTTAATAGTTCTAGCTTTTTTCCAGATGTCAATTGATATTCTACATAGATGATCATATTGTCTGTAAATAAAAGTAGTTTTATTTATTTATTCTCTTCAAGTTATATTATCTTCTTATTTCTTTTCTTGCTTGATTACACTGACTAGAACCTCCAATATGATACAGAATAGAAGCAGTGCTAGTGAACATTATTATCAAATATTTTGTTTTCCTCTCTCTCCTCTCTGTAGATATATGAGGCTGCTTGATGTGATCCCACATTTCACTGATAGTATTTTCATTTTGTAATTTTTTTCTTTCAGTGTTTTCCTTTTGGGTGGTTTCTGATCCTGAATAGACATTAATTAACCTCTTCTTTCACATTGTCTACTCTGCAGTGAATGTATCCTCTGTATTACTCATCTCACACATTTAAGAAATGTATTTTGGTTCTTTTTATATATTTCATGTCTCTTCTTTACCTTGTGAATATGTGGAATGCAGTTATGTAATCTGTTTTAATGTTCTTGTCTTTAATTCTCATATTTGTGTCATTTCTCAGTCAATTTTGATTGACTAATTTACTCGTTTTATGGGTCATGTTTCCCTGCTTCTTTATATGCTTGGTATTCTTTGATTGGATGCCAGGTCCAATTCAATATATATATATATCATGTATTTTACTCTTGGGGTGCTGACTATTTTTATATTCTTATAATATTTTTTAGCTTTCTTTCTTGGATGTAAATAATTTATTTGGAAACAGTTTGTTATAGATCTTGCTTTTTAAGATTTGTTAGATGGGGCCAAAACCATGTTAAATCGGAGACCAGTTATTTCCTACCACTGAGGCAAGATCCATTTTATTCCTCTACCCAATGCCCTGTGACTTATGAAGGTTTTCAGAGTGGTGGGTAAAAGTAGACATGATAGGTATGTGCTGAGCACTGTTTTCTCTAATCCTTTAGGATGGTCCTTTCTGTGGCCTTGGGTAGTTCTTTCATATACATATGCTGATTGGTTCTCTTGCTAAATACTCTAGGGAATCATCTGAGGATTTCTGGGGTCCTTTCTCTGTGTGATTATAAGCTTTCTGGTATATCCAAGATTAATATTAGCCCAGAGGTTCACAAAAGGAAGTCACATTTTATGTACTATGTTTTGTTTACCTATGGAAGACCTGAGAGACTTGTGGGTAAGTCACTCAGACATCTTCTAATTGAAGATGATTTAGAAATTCCCTGAATTCACCAGGATAGCTATGGATTAAAAGACCCTTCCTGATCTGAAACTGGACTAGTTCCCCAAATGTGTGCAGTGAGGTAAATTGCATCTATGCATTAAATATTCTTCATGTTTGACCACAGATGGAAATTTACCCCTTACTATCCCAAATTTGCACTCAGCATAACTTAGCAAGTCACAAGTCAGGAATACCTGTTCATTTCCAACATACTATCATATTATAAACATTTGGTTTGTGTTTCTAAATAGCAAGTTGATGCTAACCAACATATTTTCTTTAATATGATAGAAACAAGCCCTTCTAGAGAAAAAAATGGCTTATCATTTACAAAAAATGCAAGAAAATGGCTTTAAAAGAGAAGAGATGGGAAAAAATACATTTGAGTATAAAGGACAAGATGGAACACATTATGAATGTAAGAACATTAAAATCTGATATAGCTATGTATAGAGTGCGTGTCTGTGTATTTGCATAAAAATTCTTTTGTAAAATTTTGTTTGCTTACACTTCCTACTTGGTTTGTACCAGGCATGGTTGTAGCCATTTCTCTCTTACAAGTTGGAAAGTAGACATATATGTAAAAATTAAAATAAACTAAAATAATCTTATCAAGTGGTTCAGTAGACAAGCTTGTATACTGCAATTCTAACCAACTTCCCTATACTTAATGTATTTTTTGCTACTGAAACTTGAAAAAAGTTGTGTAAGATAATTGCTATTAATATTATACACCAACACAGTGTTCTAATATGCCAGCCAGAAAGACAGTACCAGACAGACAGTACCAGAGAAAAACAAAGGGAAGAAGGGCAGGAGGAGTTATAGAAGGAGGGAAAGGAAGGAAGAAAGGAAGGAAAACAAAAGGAAATGAAGAAACCTTAAAAGAGGAACATCGAGTCAAGAGATTGCTATGCCCAATCTCCAGCAGCTTCCTTTTACTGATAATATTATAACAGTGTGGTGGGCTTAACTAAATTCAATTAATTAATGATATTAATTAAAATTTCATGGCCAGAATGTAAAAATGTAGATGTGTTTTAATTATCTGTGACTATGTAGTATCAGGAAAGAACATGATCATCTTCCAGGCAGTTATCATCATAGCGTCCCATCAATCCCATCTCTATCCTATAAATCCTACTTCTGGATGAGAACCTACCTATTGCACTCCAGTAGATTACTGTATAGTCTCCGCTAGCTCTTATTTTAACCTACCCCAAATCCATGTTTTAAACTGCTACCTAATTACACTTAATACTCTGTTCTGAAGGTTACTTCTCCTGGCCTAAAAACTTAAAAATCCCCATTACCTTTTAAATGAAACTCAGACTTCTTAGGCAACCATTCATTGCCATTTAGAGTCCAATCCAAACCTAACTTCTTAACTTTATTTCACACTACCTTCTTAAAGAAAGGCAGCTATGATCTAAGGGTAACTTGAATAGATTCATGAGCCAAACTGCTGAAGTTTATGTCCTGCTTTACCATTTGCTAGCCATGTGAATAGCTCAGACAAATAAATTACTTAACCTCTCCGAGCCACAGTTTCAGAATTTGAAAACAAAGATAATGTTCCTAGGTAATTCCCATAAAGAACCTAAAAGTTTTAGCCCATAATAAGCACTCCCTTTATTTCATTATCTAATCTAATGAGAGCACTGACCATTCCTAAAACACAAATTACCTTTTGCACTTCTGTGCCTCCCTTTATCCAATTTTGTCAGTTTGGAATGACATGCTCACTGTCCATCTATCCAAATCCTATAATTCTTTTAAGCTCCACGGTAAATGAAACTCCACAAAGACTTTCTTAAAAACCCTAATAGTGTCATAATAGCCCTAATAGAATGGTGTCTTTCTTAATACATTCATTGCATATTTCCAACTGTCTTAATCACTTCCACTTTTGTGTTTCACAGAGCTCCTAGTACTGTATGTATGTAAGTATAGACTAAATATATGTTTGCTGAATGAACTAATTCAATCTATTCAGCTCATTGAGATAATGACAGCAATCTCATGCTTCAGAGAAGCAACCACTTCAGTAACTGTATACATCCCACATCTTCAACTGTTACCTTTCTCGTTTAATAGGAAAAGAGTTTCAAGTAGACATTTTAAATACTGTTACCTCAAATCCCCCTCCATTGAAAAAGCAGAATATAAATGAATTTGATTTATATTGTCAAGGTGGACAGAAGAATATCTATTTCATAAATGAAATTGAATTATACCTCTATAGTAATGTGTCACGTTGCACAAAGTAGACAGCTGCCCGGGGAACACCGAGAGAATGAGAGGAAAGCCCGATCAAGTGAATCTGCTCCAGTGGGAAGACAGGTCACGCTCACATTTCACATCTCTACTGGAAAACCACTGAGCACGCATGCTGTGAGAATCCTCTGTCCTCCTAGGTGGTTAGAAACACAAACTATACTCACCTCTATGATGAAGGAGGGATATGTACATGGCTGTGGGCACAACCAAGGATTGTAACAGTACCGTGGGCTGGTGGGTCTCCAGCCAGTAAGCTATGCTGGTTATGCGTTCCCACAGAGGACATGACATTTTGAGCTCAGTGTAGCATTTTCTCTCTGCCAGAAGAAAATTCTTCCCCTCCAGGTATATTTTTTGACTTGAAGGTACAATATTTCAAGAGTAATTGTTTTTCTTCCTATTGCACGTCATTCTACCTTCTCCAATACTTCCTCAAAATCCCACATATAAATTAGCAGATGGCTTAATTCCTCTTTAAATAAGCATGAAAAGATAGTCTATATTAAATAATTCTGTCATCATTATTAAAAATAAGTGTTTTATTACATTTCTTTAAGCTTCTTCTCCAAAGAAGAAAAATAAGATGTGTGATGATATAAAGACCATTTATCCTGTTGATGACCAGAAAGCAAATAAAGGAGTACATGGTAATTGAATATTGTGTAAAGAAATAATAAATAGTAATTTAGGAAAAGACTGACTTTAGATGGCCTCTTTGTTTAAATCCTGTGTTCTCTTGTCAAATGACATGTAATGAGTGATGCTTACTAACAATGATGCAACCTCGATTGCTTTCAGAATTTGATCTTTAGTTACTGATTTAGTGTTTTGAATTTAACATTATATCATCATTATAGAAAAATGAAGGATCTATTGCTATGAAATGAACAGTACATGAACCCAATAAATTCCAAAATAATTTTTATAATGCTCAAAATGGTTTTAGAAAACTCTGAAGTGGGTCAGAAATTAAGTATATTAACTCTAAAACAACCATGAACACTATTGAGATAGCACCGTATTTATTATTTATCTCATAGCTGTCTATTAGAGCTCACTCAATTAGACCAGGAACCCAAATGACAGCATAAAAATCCTCCAAATATTACACTGTCAAAAGTATAAAACAGTCCAAAGTTGATCAATATGAACCTCCTCCCATTATTAAATTTTCAGGGAAAAAAATTGAAGTATAAAAGTTAAATCTCTTTGTCCTTATCAGTTAAAATCTAAAGAGAAAAAGTCTACAATCTTTCCTCTCTAAGTATGTAATTTGATTAGTCAGTGTCATCAAGACTCAGAAATCTGGGGGGGAGAGAGGAATGCCTTTGCTGAAGCTGGCTTTCACTCTCAGGACCACTGAGGTTGAGTTAATTCAACTATAAGCTTTATGATCCCATTTTTAAAGGCCAAAGATTTTTGTATAACACCCCAATGAGTTCTGACAACACACACAACTATGACTGCACCAGTCCCACATCCATTGAAAATGGAATGTAGACAGTAAAACTAAAAGCTCAGTCTCTAGAGCAATTACCTCACACAGAATGATCTAAATCTCTAGTGTTCAGTGCAGCCCAAACTGGTCTCACTGATATCAAACACCTCAGTAGTAGAGAAAGAAAGGAAGGTAGGTGGAAAATAGTTTCCAGTTTCAGCAGTGTACCAATCTATCTGTGACAACTGTCCAGGAATCAGACCTATACATTTAAGCATGGTTGGAAAACAGTCTATTAAAAGATTAATTCTGAAACTATATTGATATAGGAAAGGAGGGCTTCTATCTATATCTACTCTCCACTCTAAGAGGATAGAGTTGCATATAAGTCATTTCTGGGGTTTTTTTGGTGAATTTTAGAAATGTACAGTAGTGACATCACAAGTTACACGAGTAAATTATTAGAATTGCACCTCTTCCCATTTATCAAATTCAAACCTTCCTAGTTTCCATTTTATCACTGAATCTTGACTATGAACTCTGTACAGTGTCCCCTTGTATTTTCTTATGGGCAGTCTGCCCTACATTTTGTAGCTAGAAACTCTCAAGCAGCATTCAGAGCCCTGAATTCCCTGCAGTCCCTGCTTCCATTCTTGTCTCTGTACTTTTTCATTCTCAAGAAAGAAAAAAATGTCCTCAGGTATTTATTTTGCTTTTTAAATTATCCTAAGAGCAAAACGGAATTTTTTGTACAATTGCATGAATTTTAACATATGTATGGATTTGCATGACCTTTACCACAATCACATAAGAATAGTTCCCACATACTAAAACTTTCCTCTTGCAGTCATACCTTCCTCCCTCCAACTAATAACCCCAGGTAACCACTATAGTTTGCCACCCCACTCCTCCTTGGAGAATGTCTTATAAATGAAATCATATGATATTTGGCCTTTTGATAATGGCTTATTTCACTTGCATAAGGCCTTTGAAATTCATTCAAGTTATTGAATATAGCAATAGTTCACTCCTTTTTATTGCAGAGTAGTGTTCCATTGTATGTAAGCACCAGGGTTTGCTTATGCTTTTACCAGTGAAGGAAATTGGGATTTTTTTCCCTAAGTTTTGATGATTATAGATAGAAAGATTAGCAGTATTTGTATTCAGCATCTTGTATGAACAAGGGGTTATTGGGTTATATGGTAAGTGTTTGTTAAAGTTTATAAAGAACTGCCCTACTGTTTTCCAGAGTGGCTATAACATTTTGCATTTTCATCAGTAATGCATGAGAGATCCATTTGCTATATGCATCTTTTCAACCATCGGTATTAACACTAACTTCTATTTTAGCCATTCTAATAGATGTAGTGCTATCTCACTGTGGTTTTCATTTGCATTTCCCTGATGGCTAATGATGATGAATATCTATTCATATTCTGTTTGCCTATTGTAAATACTGCTTGGTGAAATATCTCTTGAAGCTTTTTGATCATTTTTAATAGGGTTATTTTCTTACCATTGAGTTTAAGAGTTATTTACATATTCTGAATACAAGTCTTTTTCAGATATGCAATTTGCAAATATTTTCTCTCAGTCTTTGACTTGCCTTGTCATTTTCTGTTCCATTGATTGATCTACATGTCTATCCCTCGTCAACAATGCATCGTCTTGATTACTGTAGCTTTTTATTGTTTTAAAATCAGGTATAATTCCACCAACTTATTTTTTTATTCTTCAAAATTTTTATGACTATTTTAATTCATTTGCCTTTTCCATATGAATTTCATAATCAGCTTGTCTACAAAAATTATGCTGGGATTTTTTGTTTGTTTGTTTGGTTTGGTTTGGTTTTTTGAGCTGAGCCATCCTGCCACCTGTTGGCAACTCAGTGGCAGCTCAGCTCAGGCCTGGCACCAAACTGCTGTTGCCCAGAGCTCACACTCTTGAGTGAGCTCTTAACCAACTGAGCCACTTGTCCAGCCCTATGCTGGGATTTTTGAATAGAGTAAATTAAATAAAAATAAATCAATTTGGGGGGTGGGAGGAAGTCTTTACTATACAGGATCTTCCAGTCCATAAACATGGTATTCCTGTTTAGGTTGTCCTTAAGTTCTTTCTTACATGTTTTGTAGTTTTCAGCATAGAGATCTTGTATATGTTGTGTCATATTTATGCATAAACAGTTCGTTTTTGGTACTATTGTACATGGTATTTTTAAAATTTGGTTTCCAATTGTCCATGGATATTGTTTTTATGCCTGTTTGGAAAGATTTTTTAGTGGTTGCTCTAGATAACAATGTACTTAGCTTTTCACAATCAATTATGAGTAAACATTTTACGTCCTTAAGTGGAATGTGGAAACATTACCACTATATATGTCTCCTTATCTCTCTCACCTTTGTTATAGTTGTGTTATGCATTAAATCTATATATATCAAACATCCACTTAGACAGTGTAATATGCTTTATTTTAAATAACAAAATAGGGGAAGAATAGTCTATTATATCTACTCGAATAGTTACATTTCGGTTGTCCTTTAATTCCTGATATCACAGTTTTCTTTCTGTTCCTTTCTCTCTCTCTCTCTCTCTCTCTCTCTCTCTCTCTCTTTTTCTCTTTCTTTCTTTCTTTAGTCTATAAAACTTCCCTAACACCTCTTTTAGAACAGATTTTTCTGGCACTGAATGATCTTAGTTCTCCTTCATCTAAGAATAGATTTTACCTTCATTCTTGAAAGATAACTGTTTCGCTTGATATAGAATTTTAAGTTAACAAGGTTTTTTTCCCCAGATCTTTAAAAATATTGTTCCACTTCATTGTGTTCTGATGAGATAAGATATCTGCAGTATCTACAGTATTTGTATTGTTGATCTCCGTAAATAATATGACATGTTCTATGGTTGTTAAGATTTATTTAATTTATTTATTTATTTATTTTTTGCAGGGGGCTAATTTTCAGCAATTTGATTATGATGTATCTTGGTATGCGTTTCTTTGTTTTTGTTTCTCCCCTGTAGCATTAACAGGGTTTCTTTAAACTATTTTTGTCTTTTGCCAAATTTCCCTTAAGCATACCTCCTTCCTCCACAAAGAAAACTGTGACCCAGATGTGGTGATTGTCATACTGTTACCTGCAAAATATATTTACTACCTGAGTGTATGTCCTTAAATTAGATACGCATATATACATATAGACATATATGCTTATATACCATTATTAGTATGCTTTAATGTATCTGATATGCTACTGTATCACCAGTGACTTGCTTTTTACACTCAGCTTTATGTTTCAGAAGTTTTATCTGTGTGCTGTCTGACACTTCACTTCCTTCCATTACTGACCTAATCCCATTATGTGAATATACCCCAATTTATAACCTGTTTTTCTGTTGATGAAAGCATATCTATTATTTGAACAGTCTTCCACTGAATAATCTTGCACATATATAATTCCCAGTATTCATCGAAAAGAGATTCTGTAAGGATCATATACCTAAATATAGGATTTCTGAGCCATTTTCCTCTTCTGAGAAATTATCTTTTCAAATCTCTTGTCCATTTTCCTACTGGGTTGTTTTTCTTATGAATTTGAAAGATGTTTTAGTCATACTAGACATTCGTTATTATAGACGTACATATATATATATATATATATATACATATATATATATACATATATATATACATATAGCAAATTTCTTCCAAATTTATGGTTTGCTTCTATTCTATTTTCATTTTTTTGATGTACAGACATTCTTAATTCAATGTAATAAAATTTTACATTTTTTTTCCTTCATGGTTTATATATTTTGTTACCTTTTATTTGAGTTCAATTTGTATGAGTTCTTTTTGATACTGCAAAGGTATTCATATTTTGTCTTAATTTATGTGCCATATATTTCCACAGTTTAGTTAATGACTTTTTTAAAGCTTTTCTTATTAAACACTTCAAACATAAACAAAAACCAACAGAACCCTTATGTGCTTAGTATTCAACTTCAACAATAACTCATGGAAAAATTTGTTTTGTCTAGGCCCTTGACCCCTGTTTCCATATTGTTTTAAAGCACAGCCCACACATAATATCATTTCATCCATCAATATGTGAATATGTATATAAAAGATAAGGGTTATTTTGGAATCCAGAACCACTATACCAGTACCACATTGCACAAATTAATAATTCTTTAATGTAATCAAATATTTAATTGTTAACTTTCCCATATCACGAATGTCACAAAAACATTTTGCTGTTACTTTGAATCTACACTGACGCACACTGCAATAGTTTGTTGTCTTTTCAGACTCTTTCAGTCTACAGGTTCTCTTTCTATATATCCCTCTACCTCCCTCTCTTTTTTAAAAAATACAGTTTATTTGTTGAAAGAACTGAGTTGCTTCTCCTGTTGAGTTCCTCACAGATTGGACTTTTGATGTTTGCAGCACACAGATAAAACTTCTGAAACATAAAGTTGAGTGTAAAAAGCAAGTCACATAAGACTGGATACAATAGCATATCAGTTACATTAAAGTATCTTAATGGTGTATACACACACACACACACACATATATCTCATTTAAGATTGCTTCTATAAGGTATAGTTATGTATGTTATTTTTCTGTATTTCCTATAAAATATTGGTTAGGTTGATACTTTTAAGTTCAATTTCTTTAGCAAAAGTGATTATATGCCTCCATTAAGAGGCATATAGTATATTGTTTTTCTCTGTGATATTAGCAGCCATTTATGTTCAAGGCCTAGATCTATCATTAATTAGGGCCTGCAAAACTGGGATATTTTGATTCTATCATTCCTTCATAGATCAGCTAGAATACTTGTATAAATAGAACCTTCCCCTCAACTACTATTTGGTTACATGTGGCATAGGATACTTAAGAAATGCAGACAAATACTTAATGTTTTACCATCATCTATCAATTTGTAATAGAATGAATTGGTTCAGTAGCATCTTCCAACAGTGAGCAATTAGTTTTGTTTTGTGTCATTATGAATTCACAAATTTAAATAAATTCAACGTGCTTCAACACATTGCTGTTTTTGTGTTTATTAATGCTGAAATTGTTACAGCTCTGGCCAGTTGGAGCCCCTTCAGGATAACTCTTTGAGTCCTTTGTGACATAACCCTAGTGACTTTTGATAGCTTCCTTACTATCTGGGAAGACAGGAAGATTAGCCAAGCTTATCTTGTACACCTTTGATGGCTTCAAACTCTATTGAGTGTTTATGGCATCTTTGAAAAGATAAACTGACCACATATAGATGGACATATTTCTGGACATTCTTTTCTGTTTTGTTGATGTATTGTCTGTCCTTATGAAATTCAGTATTCTTTTAATTACTGTAGGTTTATAATAAGCTTGAAATTTTGAAGTTTGAGTTCTCCGACATTTGTTATTCTTTTGGGGTGACTTAGTTATTCTAGGGCCTATGCATAGTCTGCTGGGATTTAATTTGGGTTCACCTTTCTTTTCTTGTTCTTTCTGGCTAGGACCTCCAGGATGGTGATGGAAAAAAGTGTGATTATGTACACCCCAAACTTGTTCCAAAAGTTAAGGGAATAGGATCAATATAAATTAATATTTTGGCTCTAGACATTTGAAGATAGCTTTTATCAGAGAAAGGGTATACCCTCATATTCCTAGTTCAATAAGAGGTTTTATCATGAATGGGTGTTGAATTTTATCATTTTTTCCTGCATCTTTGAGATAATCTTCTAAATTTTCTCCTTTTCTCTCTTAATGTGATTAATTATTTTGACTTATTTTTGAATGGTAAACCAACCTTGCATTCTTAGAATAAACCTCACTTATTCATTATGAATTATCTTTATTATATATTAGTTTCAGCTAATTTTATTTATAATTTTTATATAATTTTATATTTCTTCATTGGTAATATTGACTGAGATTTTCTTTTCTTATAATATCATATAATTACTTTGATATCAGAATGATCCTAGTGTCAAAATTATGATTTGGGAGAGGCATTCACTCCTTTTCAATTTTTTGGAAGAGTTTGTTCAGAATTAGTGTAATTTCTTCTTAGATATTTGGTATAATTCAGAAGTAAAGTCAGAAGACTGGAGATTTCTTTGAGGAAAAGTTTTTAACTACATTTAATTTCTTTAATAGCTATGAGGTTCTTCATTATATTTATTTATTCATTAATAAGATTAGGTAGTTTGTTTTCTTCTAAGAGATAAATTTGTTCCTTGCATTTAATTTTTAAAAATTATTGCCATATGTTTTTTTATTATATTTCTTTACTATCATTTTTAGTATTATTTATAGACTCTGTTGTCCTGTTATCTCTAATTTTCCTGATGCTAGAAATTTGTGTCTTCTCTTTTTCCTGATCAACCTGGCTTATCCCTTTTAGAACTTCTCAAAGAGTCAGCTGTTTCATTTTCTCTCTTTTTTTTCCTGTGTCTTTGATTTTCACTTTGATCTTTACCATTTCCCTTCCTCTGCTTACTATTTATTGACAACACGTGGAAGAACTGAAATGCCGACACACTGCTGAATGGTGTGTAAAATGGTCAAAACCACTTTCGAAAACAGTTTGGCATAAAACACGTATCTACCATATGACCCAATCATTCCACTACTTGGTATTTATCCAATTGAAATGAAAAAATATGTTCATACAAACACTTGTGCATGAATGTTCATAAAGGTTTAGTTCCAAGAGGCAAAAACTGGAAACAACCCAAACACAGGTGAGTGGATAAAATATTGGGACATGTCCATATCATGGAATACTTCTCAGAAATAAAAAGGAACAATTTATTAATACATGCAACATTATTTTGAGTGACAAAAACCAAGAGTACATACTATAAGATTCAATTAATAGAAAATTCAAGAAAATTCAAGCCAATCTTGTGTGAGAGGTAGAGAGCATTGTTGTCAGGGGCTGGGAGAAAAGGAATGGATGGATTACAAAGGTGGATAATAAAACTTCTGAAGGTCATAGAAATATTATTTTGATTGCGGTGATGGTCTCACAGTTGTAGACATTTTAAAACTATTCAATTTAAATGAATACCGTTTATTGTATTTCAGTTATACTTCAATAAGTTGTTTGTTTAAAAAACCTACAGTGTTTCGCTTTCATTTACTTTTAGAAAATGCAGCAAATGTTATTCAACAATGTCTAAGTTCAAAGAATGTCAAAAACTCAGCAGCTCCAGTTTGTCACTTAGATGCACGACATAGTTGTACTGAACAAAAGGTATAGAGTTGTCTCCAACTTTTGTATGGTTATTATTAATTTATCTAGTTAACTTTCACTTCTATGAATTACCTCCTTCACTACTAGCATGGTACTTTTTGGTTAGGGATATCCAGGTTTACTCATGAGACCTGATCCCTTTCCCTGAAGCGTTGAGTTACCTCTGTGCTATACTCACTATGTCATTTAGCAAAAACTAATCCAAGCAAATATTTAGTAATTATAATGATAATAATAGCTAATATGTATTGAGCCTCTACTGTTGGCCAAGCCCTGTGCTAAGCCAGGATTAGGGAAAATGTGGAAATTAAGTTACATAGGATATAAAGATGAATAAGCCATAATCACTTGAGGACTCATTGTCTAGTGGGCCACATGGACAGAGTCAAATGGAATTACAATAAAAGGAGGGCCTGGGGTGATAAATTTTGAGTCTAAGCAATGCATTCATTAAGCGTTGGATTGGATTGGAATGGGTTGGATTGTATTTCCCTGAGAAAAATTTAATTGACTCTAAACTTTAGGGCCAACCATTGAATGGATTCTATGCTTTAAATGAAATATAGAACAAGAGGAACCAGTTTGTGCATTGCTACATATTGAACTCAATTTTGAACTAGTTAAATTTGAGATCCCTGTGAAAAATAGTGCAGGATGTTGGTAAGATGTATTATTCCTGAGACAATTTTCATGAGACACTGAGGAGATAAAGGGGGGGGGAAATCTTTATTTGAGTGATAGAAAGCAAATTTTTTTTCAGCAGTATTGTTACTAATGAATACTTTTCTCTTTAATGTTGTACCATATAGAAAGATGGAGCAACAAATAAAAAATCAAGTACTGGCAATGAGAGAGGTAAGAAAATGAAAAATATTTATAATTGTTTTGTTGTTTAAGTACATAATTATGGTTTCCTCATATAATTTTCCAAGGTATTTGTTTTATCTGATTATAAAAGTTATAGTTATTTTAGAAAATAAGGCATGGTATAAATTTGTTTATGAACATAGATGTTATAATTAGCCCAAATATTTGAGTGATTGCTTGATGAGTATGGCTTTTCAAGGCTTTTCAAGTTTGCAAACTGTGGAAAAGTTAGGGTCCTGCTATGGCTGTTTATAATGATAGCTAAAGTAAGTTACTGACATATGTACTGTGGTTTAGTAGGTTATGGTACTGAACCAGGAAGGGCCCTATGGGGACCACTGCCAGCAATTCCCCACAGACAATACACCCTATTTCCTATGTAGCCTTGTGTAGAATGTACACTAAGTTTTTATGTGCTTTGTTAGCGTTCTGAAAGTCACTAAGATCCATGCATATCCTACCTACATAGGCACACAGAAAATAACAGACACCTCTGTTCAGTGGTCACTGACTATCTCAAATTCAATATAAAATCAAATCCGTCATTTTCTTGATACTTCTCTTTTCAGCCAGAAACAAAACCTGAGTTGTCTTTGACTCCCTCTTTCTTGCATTCTGCATTTCAAAATTGCCACTTTCTGCCTAATCTACCTCCTTAATCTATCTTGCCCTATCCACTTTCCCATGCCCACAGCTTCTGCCCTTGTTTCCTCCATCCTCTACTACTTTAGTACCCTTCCTCCAATTTTGTCCTCCTCTTTTTAATCCACCATCCATTTGCTGTGAAAGCAATCTCCCTAAACATAGCTTTGGTTATTCCCCTATTTAAGTCATTAGTGGTTTTCCACTGCAGACTGAATGAAATGCTAACAGTTCATTCTGGCCATGGGCTGAGGTTTGTTACAGGGGTTAAGCTGCCATAATATTAAATAAATTAAGATCAGAGGTTAAGGGTTTCAGACTTGTCCTTGAGAGCAATGGTGAGCCACTTGAAAACTTGTGAACATCAAAAAAGGTCATGGTATTCTTTCGGGTATTTCCTCAGCTCAAATAAATTCATTATTATGGTAATCCAGTGATTGTGGCCTCTCAGCAGGCAGAACTCTGGGTCAGTCCATTAATATTCACCCTCAGTCCAGCAATATTATCTTCTCATATTTAAAGGTATCTCTTTTTCCTCTAGGAGTTCAAGATTTAATGATTTCAGCTCAAACTTCACCCACAAGAAATTTTCCCAGATCTTCACAGTCTCATTTGGGTCCTACAAAGCATGAGGTATATAATATTTCTTTTGCCCCAAATGTGAACAGAATAAATGAGGTACCATCTTATGATCATCATTGGTATAAAAAATTTTCATTCATAAAATGAACATACAGAATAGCTTTATTCCCTGAAATGAATCATGCCATAATACAATTTTAATAGCCTTAGGATAGTCTTCCTAAATATAGGCTATCGTGGTAGTTCACAGTATGTACCTTCAACCTTAAGAGGAAGTATCAAATTGGCTTTCTTTGATTGAGCTTCGATTAGTATTGATGGATTGTTCAGAGACAGCCATACTATTTCTCCCCATTCCCTTCTGACCAGCAGTTACCTGCTGTTGAAAAGTTACCCGCAAAGATTCAGGGTTCAGCTGCTGGATATAACATAATTTTTTCTCTATGGCTTGCCAACTTGTTATTATAGGAGTCAAATTATAGGAGTCATCTTTTATTCTATTAGTAGAACAGTGTCAATTGGTTCAACTGTACTAAAGAGTTAACATGGTTTGAAAGAGATTACAATACACTGGAAATTTACTAAATTCTTTCCAAATGAATTCTACTTCATTAGGGTAGAAAGTGGCATCATTTTCTGTGTTCTCTAAAGCATAATATATGGCAGCCTTGCATTATGCATAACTCCTAAAGTGTAGTATGTTTACCATAATATGCTTCTTTGTAGTGGAGTTTTATTATAAATAAACATTTTATAGTTTGATGTTCTATGTCAATATCTATATTAACTATGCTGAGTCAGAAAAAAATTTCTTAACAACTTTGACATTTGAAGTTCTCATACTGCCCAGTAGATTTCAAAGGCTATGTCCTTTACTAAAAAAAATAAAATAAAAAACAAACAAAACAAAACAAACTCCTTAAAGACAGTGTCTAAGTTTTATTATTGACCTTTTTTGGGTAATGGGTATTTAAATCCGCCACCCCCCTTGATCTCAAATGAGTATCATATGTCCAGAAATATCTAATTTATTATGAGAAATAATATTTTATTATAAGTATTCATCCTGTTTTCAACATTTTGTATACAGGCTTCCTTTGTCATAAAATATATTTCTGTTGGCATACGTTTAACTCTCAGATCTAGGAAGAAAAGAGTTTATCGCACTGGATTTACCTCCCTGAGTAGGCTGAGTTCTTGGACAAGTCTAGAGAGCTACGGATGCCTGTGTATTCAGAAAACCTGTTCTCTGCCTTCCGGCTCTACCTACACTTTTCTATATCATTAGCTTTGTTAAAACAACCACACACCTATTCTTTTGTTCTATTGAGTTGATTAACATCCTTACTCATCAGTGCAGTTACTTTTAGAATACCAGTGAATGCTATTATTCAGAAAAGGGTCAACATAGGAGGCTTCAGACTGCCATCTTTAAAAAGGGCCTACTTGGCAAAGTTGTCCATTGGCCAGTGTTTGGGAACTTGGTTCTTCTAACATTCCCTCATGGATATGGAAGTTTTTCTAACTGAGTGGGTAGTGCCCTATACCTAGACACTGCCAACAATGTGATTTTTGCCAAAATATAATTTCCTTTTGGGAGGCTGGAATTTGGGTATGCACTAAGGCTCTCTTCATGACAAGCCTTCAATTAAAACCTGAGTGCTAAGCTTCTCATAGGGTTCCCTGGGCACGCGTTTCTGCATTTCTCATCACTGGGTGCTCAAGCATGTCCTCTCACAGAGGGGAGACAGAGAATAAAGAAGACTGTACATGGATTTTTCCAGACTTAGCCTGGGTCTTTTCCCTTTATTTATCCCATATTATATCCTTTTATTGTAATAAACTTTAGATGCGAGTAAAAATATATTCTGAGTCCCAGGAGTCCTAACAAACCATCAAATGAGTAGGTGGTCTTATCAGCCACCTATGATACAACTATGAAAATTTGAATTCTGTAAATAATAGATATAATATAAAAATCACAAAATGTGTGTACTTTTTAAAAATAGACATTTAAGGCAGTTCTCAAAATCTGAAATTTCTGTATTTCATATATATGTTCAAATCGTGGTAAAAAAAACAATACCTTGAGAATGTTTGTTTTGTTGTTTGGATTATACAGAAGGACAATAATGCTGTTTGGAGTGAAAAACGTAACAAAAGATCAAGCTACGTCTGTGAATCAGGTAAACATCAGCAATAGCTACTGAGTAAATTATGCAATATTTTAATTCGTGCTTTCAACTAACATTTGTTGAACTCCTGCTTCATGCTGAGCACGGTACTAAATATTGAATGAAGAAAACCAATGGTTCCTATACAGGGCTGTTGGAGTGAAGTGAGGAGAATGCCAATAACCACAACCCAACACTAATAAAGACAGCAGGTGTGCATACAAATCAGAGCAAGTATAGAGAAGACAGTGCCGAGGTGTACCCAGGGTAGTCAGGTGAGCCTCTATGAAAGAGACATCAAAAATGAGAAGGAATTTTCTGTTTTCATTTGAGAAAGTTGACACTTTTAATGTTAATTGTTCTCGTTTTTTGAACATTGAATGTCTTTCCATGCATCTTAAGTATTATTTCATAATGTATATATGACAGATGCAACATACAGATAAATATGTGTGACACATACACTCTGGAATGTTAGGTCATAATATATTCAGATACCATATATGTGTGGATCTGTTTCTCATTGCTGTATCCTATTCCAAAGACCAGTTTGTTTGTAATTGCACTAGTATCACACTCTTGGTCCTTCATAAGGTTTTGAGATCAACAAGGGGAAAAAAAACTCAGGCCCCCTTCCCCACCTGCTGCCACTCCTACCACTTTCTTGTTCAATTCTGAGGGTGCCTTGGCTAATTCTCACCTTACTTTCCTCCATATAAATTTGAAATGGATACCTCTCTCTCTCTCTCTCTCTCTCTCTCACACACACACACACACACACACACACACACTCTCTCTCTCTCTCTCTCTCTCTCTCTCTCTCTCACACACACACACACACACACACACACACACTGCTGAGGTATTGATTGAAACTGCACTGAAACTGTAGATCAATATGGGAGAATAGGTATCTTTACAATACATACTGATTCTCCCCATCAATGCAATTGGTTTATCACTCTGTTTAATGGAAATTACATTTCTTTACTTTGCTTTAGGTTCAGTAATTTTCTCCAGATAGCTCTTATGCATTTTTTGTTAGATTTATTCCTAGGTACTTAATATTTCTGTTGCTATGTAAAATGGTATATTATCTAACTATTTGTTGCTAATATATAGAAGTGTAATTGATTTCTGTATTATGATTATATGTCCAGCAACCTTTCCAAATTCTCTAATTCTTCTTCCTTATCTGTTGATTTTTTTATATAATCATATAAATGTTTTTTAATATAATCATATCATCTACAAGTAATGAAAGCTTAGTTAATTCCTTTATAATCTTATATTTTTAAAATATTTCTGGCACTCTTTCCATTCCTAGGGCCTTCATAGAACTGGCAAATAGTGACGAAAGTGGGCTTTCTGTCTTCTTCCTGATTTAAATAAAAATGTATTTTAAAATTATTCACCATAAAATGATGTCCACTGTAATATCTTGGTATATGACAATACCAAGGAAATACCCTTCTGTTTCTAATTTACTAAGATTTTTTTTATCAGTGAATGTTGACTTTTTAAAAATGTATTTTATGTATCTGTTTACTCATTTTTTGTTGTCAGAGCAATGATGCATTGCTCGATTAAATTATTTCAATTTCTCATGTATAATCTTCCTCATACATTTCTAGATTAGGTTTTCTAGTAATTGTTTAGGATTTTATTATCTAGGTTCTTGAGAGAAGTTGGTTTGTAATGTTCCCTTCTCATAGTTTCCTTGTCTGGTTTTCTTGTCAAGATTACAATAGCTTCATGAGTTGTACTGCCTCTTTCTTATTATTTTCTGGAAGCTTCCAGAGTTAGAATTATATATTCCTTGAATGTTTGCTAGAAATCACTGGTTAAATATTTAACCTGGTCCTGGCTCTCTTAGTGAGCAAAAATTTGAACTACGAATTGAATTACTTTAGTGATTCAGAACTATTCATATTTTCTATTTCTTTTTAAGTTTTGTCAAGTTACACTTTTCTTGTAAATTTATTCAATTTTTCTAAATTTTCAAATTTATTGGCATAAAGTCATCATATATCCTATCCATACAGATGAGATGACTGCAAGGCAGTATGCCTAATGGGTAAAAACATATACTCTGACCCCAGACTAGCTAAGTTAAACCTATACTCCAACACTTAAAATTTATGTTTTGCCAATTTATTTAGCTCTGTTCTTTAGTATTTCCAACTATAAAATGAGAATAATAGTACATAGTTAATAAGATTCCTATAGCAATTCAATGTTAATATTTGTAAAGTGCGTAGAACAATGTGTGATAATCGGTGATATGTAAGAGATTTTTAAATGTACGGCAACACTTTGCTGTACAACATTTTCATTCTTTTCTAAATCGTTTCTAAATTACAATTTTCTTTTTTTGTATTCATGAACTAGTTTTTAGATTTTAAGCACTCTGGACTTCTAATTTTATTTTTGTTATTGATTTCAAATTTAATTGCTTTGTGGATGAGAGCATGGTCTTTATGCTCTCATAAAGAGAGCAATTTACGAGGAATTGCTTTTTTGGCTTAGCACACATGATGATTTTCTAAAAATTTTCTATGTGGTTGAAAACAATGAATGTTGTCAATCGGGGGTTCAATGTTCTAAAACTTCCCAGCAAATCAAGATGTTTAATTGTGCAGTTCTAATATTATATATACTTACTTGTTTTTTTAACTCTTTGTTCTAAAAATTATTGGTCATGATAAGATCATTCTCAACTCCTCCACATCGTTCTGTCCATTTTTGCTTTTAATTTGTTGATCTGGGTTATTAGGCATATCCAAGGTTATCCTGGTGAATTGGATCTTATTATTATGCAGTGTTCTTTATTGTAAGTGATGTTTTAGTCTTAAATTTAAAATGTCTGATAGTAATATAGCTATATCAGCTTTCAATCTTAGTGTCTTTATATGTTTAGATGTCTCTTGTAAATAGTCAACCCCTGGATTTTGCTTTAGTTTTATTCAGTCTTACAATTTACTACTTTTAACTGAATTTTAACCATTTATATTTATGTTAATTATAAATCATTGGAAGGTTTTTATTGTCTTATTTCTACTTTCAGTTTGTCCTTCTTCTTAGTATTTTTTTCATTTCTCTTTTCTTGCTTTTAGAGTATTAAGTTAATTTTTAAATCCAGTTTTCCTTCTACTGGTTTGGGAATTGTATACTATATATTTCTTTTGACAATTACCCTTAAATTTTAACACTGATACATAAAGTAAAAGTCAGAGTTACAATAATTTACTTTTAATCATTATATCATATTTAACTAATAATTTAGTTTTGAATTTTTACTAGTTAAATTACTTTTTCTATTTTTTATCCAGTCAAATATTGTTTATATTTACCCACATTCCTCATTTTTTGTTTATCATTCCTTTTTGCATTTTATATGTTATAGAATAAATTTCATTCTTCCTAAAGTACCTCCATTCTTTAGAAATATCATTAATGAATGCAATTTGGGACTAAACTCTCAGATTTTATTTAATAAAAACTGTATTTTATCCATGTTCTGGGGTATAATTATGGCTGGGTTTATAAATTCTTGGGGACAGTTTTTTTTTTCTTTTAGCACTATAGTTTTTTTCTATCAAGAATACTTTTTATTATACAGGTATCATACACACACAACAATTATTTGGGGAAAGTTTACAGGCATGGAGTTCAATTCCAAAATTCCATGTCACCCACACATACTGTACCATGCACTGATCTTTGGGTTGAGCCCAACAGAAATGAGACACAAAGTTATTGCTTTGTGAACAGAGTTTCAACTAAATAGAATGTTTTGCATCAAGAAGAGATTCCCAGGATCCTCTTAATTCTTATAGTCTGTGTACATGTGAGTCTTTATGCCACTTTCAAGTATGTCTTACCATGACTCTTCTGCCTCTATCCATGCCAAAGCTAAGACGTGATTTATTGGTACTGCTACCTCTGAGGCATGACTTTTTCTAGACCACTTTTTCTCAGAAGATATAGCTCTTTGGATTCCAGTATTTTTTAGGGGCACTTACTTTTAATCCCCCATTCTGTGTACCCCTGATGTCCTGTTTTAAATCCTCTAACCTGCTATTAAGCAGGCATCGGCTTGAGACTTGCTTACCACTCCCGATTTGTATTCCCCCAATTTTTTACTCTCAAGGATTTCTCTTACCTCCTTGAAAGCTTAGCTATTTTTAAGAGGATAGTTGTAGTGTTTTATACAGAATTCTAGGCATTTTATGTTAGGATATTTACTGCGGCTTATTATTAGAAACTGTAGAAGAGTTTTTTGTTTGTTTTTACTTTGCTTTTAAAATGATTGTTTTCATGATTAATTTCTCAGGCCTGTGCACTCTTAATTCCCATTACTTCTTCTCCAAAACTGAACACATGCAAAAACATATCTACAGAAACAAACGCAAAAAGGTTCATAGGATTTAAGTAAGGATTTTTATACACATCATATGTACCTATTGTTTACTCATTTATTGGAAGAAACAAGTGTAGCCATTTAAACTTGACTTTGAATTGGCTCCAATTACTAATACTACTTTCTGTAACCAGGGCATTCTTTTTGTCTAAAACTTATTCATTGTATATTTGCATAATTGACCTATGCTAATCCAGTGTGCCTGCAGAGATGTTCTGCATAAAGACCTCCTGTGTCATCTGCTATTTGCTAAAATCCAGGGATGGAGTCTTGCTCGACAATATTTAAGTTGGAAGAGACTGACAGACAAATCAGTGAATAAATGTTGAGGAAACATATTAATTAAATTATGTGTTCAACAAATAAACCTCATTAAACAATACATGTTAAGTGGTAAATTTATATCATAGTCTGAGAGACAGAAGAGTAAACTCTTAATTACAATGTAGCATTATTAGTTTTACAATAGACACATACAGGATACTTAAAGAGAATTAGAGAAGGATATTTACTTACTTAGGCAAGTTGCAAGGAAGGTTTTTTAGAGGAGTTAACACAAGCTGAATGAGACCTAAAAGATGAGAAGTTAAAAGAATGAAGGAGGTGTTCCAGAAAAAGGAAACAGCAAAGACGAGGGCCCAGAGGCATTGAAAACATGGTACATTTAGGAAATTATAAGTCATTCTCTGTGTCTGGACCATAGAACACATCTGAAAGACTAGCCAGAGACGACCCTGGACAGGTAGGTGAGAGCATCAGATTGTATGGTATGTTGTATGCCTTGCTTAAGAATGAAGACGTCATGGTAGAGTCTCTAGAGACTTTTAAACAAGGCAGTGACAACGGAGAATAAAGACCTACTAGCGAACATTAATGACAACTTTACAAGTTGCTGGGGAAAGATACAAACCAATTACAATTTTCTTTTTCTGATAAATAGGACTTCAGGCTCCTGCCACAGCCCAGGGTATTTTCCCATCTCATGTTTTCTCAAATAAGTAAGTGTCGAAGGAAATTAATGTATAATTATAAACTAACATTTTAATAATTACATGAGTTCTAGTCAATAGTAAATGATTATGTGGGATCCTTCATTCTTGTAGCTGTACTTGGAATTAGTGAAAATTCTGTCTTTTGCAAACTCTTACCACTAAGTTTCAGCTGTAAGGTAGACAAAGTGAATGTGTTTCTTCCTTCTCTATTTCCTTATCCCACTGTGGTTCTATATTTTCACTATATTCAGAGTTGTTATGCCACTTTCAAGTATGTCCTGCCGTGATCGCTCCTCTTCAAGTGTCTTTTCAGGATCAGAACTTGTTCCTTTGCCTTTCTCCACTTTGAAACATATACAATTCCTTCGGCTTTTTGAGATTATTTGCTTTCTAAAGATGGAAATTAGGTTACTATAAATATTGATCACGTATTCAGTTATTCCTCTCTTAAAGGGTATTTGCAGTTTAATTCAAAATAATAATCTCTAATGATGGAAATTATAAGTCTTTAGAAAAGAAATTTTGGGGGCCTGAAGGAATTTCATTCCTCAGACCTTGGTGGTCAACTATTCTGTTGGTATTTATGTATGGTTTACTCAACTTTAAATAAGAGAGACTACTATTTTAGACTCCAAACCATCACCTTTTTAAAAAAAATCAATACACAAAATAAGGTCCAGGATAGATTTTACAAAAACCAAATTTCTATGAAAATGCTTGTGTAAAATTAAGTGGTGTAGGGTGGTAAAAGTGTGGACATATGAGTAGGTCATACATATGTCACTGTTTTGTTATTCTATAAATTTCATTCTTGAGTTTTTCTTTTATTAGTTACAATTCAGAAAACTGTTTCTAATATTATTAGTTGTGATGATAATTCTAAACAGAACACATGATAGAATAGTGTCAGACACATCAAAAGGGCTACATATCAATTGATATTGAATAAGGCTAGAAACCTATGTTTTTAACCATAGTTATTGGATAATCATCCATATATTCCCTTTCTACTTTTTGATGAGAATCTGGGTGGAACTGTAGAATTTGAAGTAAGTAAAGGATTAGCAGAAAGCTCCAGTCGGATGCCTTGCCACCTCACGTCTTTTAGAAGACAAAAAGAGCTAGCCCACTCTCTCCCTCCAATTCTGTGTCCGTCCTCAGAGACGCACAGAGCAGGCATGGAGAAGGTTGCTCAGTAGAATTTTCAGATAGATATATAGTTTATGCATTAGCTACAATGCTCCTCCTCTGAGTAATAAAGCATGTGGGTCAGTGTAGAAGAACAAGAAGAAATGGGTGGGCATGAGAGGTTGAACAAAAATAAAGTTCATTCTTCCTTTTGAATTTCTGTAGGAAAAAAACTCAGATATAAAGAGAAAAAACTGATTCAATGATTAGAAATTTTGTAAAAATTACATAAATTCTTGACCCTATGTAATAACTAAATGATCAACTTTTCTTGACCTTACAGGAAACAGAATCTCCTCCATAACTGCTTGCAAGAAAAAGTATGTATCATAAAACCCACTGATAAGGCAGCATATTAATGGCACTTTCTAATGTGTCATAATAGAAAAAAATCTGTGAATCAAATGAGTAACCATCATTGATATTAGCTAGCATCTCTCTCTCTACGCCCCTTTTTTTCTTTTTTGATGTTTACCTTCAGTTAATTCTTAGATTTCTCAGTGGCCTAAAGTTCTTATCAAAAGATAATGTTGGCCCTTCAGGAAGGGGTCACATGGGGATAGAAAGCGGAGGAGGCATTAAGAGACCTAGCCATCGTAAGAGCAGCATGAGGTACCACAAGCCCTTGCTGTCATAGGAAACCATTAAGTGATATGGTTTTGCAGACTTGATGGGTGAGCTGAAATGCCTAGGTCTGTCCCTATCCATTTCCATAGGAAGGGACCTGGTCACCCAAGAAGGTCACATAAAAAGGTACCTGATCGCGTATGAGCTGAGGTGTGGAACAGACAGAGAAGAAGGCATATTTGATTAAGTCCCAACTTTGGATGTAGTCAGACCAGCCAGGAAAGAGAAAGGGATTGGAGAACAACACATATTCTGATATACTTTTTCACATGGACACCTACTCAATTCATAGAATATGTAGCAAATAAAGAAGCTTTGATTAAAGAGAGTATTTCCCAGTTTAATATTTAATATTATAATGGAAAGCAACTGAAAATTAGGTTCTCTATAGTATATTTCACTACATAGAAAACTTTAGGAATATCTCTTTTTCATATATCAAGATTGGAAACAGTTTCTTGCACCTAGTCTGAGAATAACAATGTAGGTCTGTTGTTTGTTTATCATCTGGTTATAAGAAAAATAATATATATTGAATGTCTTAGTTTATATATGTTGTATAGTAGATTAGAACAACTATTGTCTGTTAAAACAGGTTTTATTCTTAAAATGTTTGATTTAGGATGTGATTATATAAGACAAATGTTATACAACATACACTGTCATCCAAAATATGTTGTATAGTTGTCTGTACAATAAGTGAAAAAGTATCTTTAGGAGATTTGGCGACTAGAGCACAATAAAATGCCTTTTTCTGGGGTGGCCCCAAACACTCCCAAATGCGTCAGGAGAGAGAGAGTATGCTACATACGTGTTGACTTTTTTTTAATGTTGGCCTGAAACATGAATAATGCCATGCAAGCTTATGACAATATTTGGGGTGTGAACAGCCCCCTTACAGGAATCCTACTGTTTACCCTGCTACCTACTACATTACAGCCCTGCTGGCTTTGCTCCCATTATTGTCTATGGTCTTCATGTCTTAAGAGCAACAATTTTAAAAACAGACTACTCGTTTATTATAGGCAATAGGATTTTTGCAAACCCCACACAGATTTTCAGTAAGTAAGTAGAGGTATGTAGGATTCTGCAGATGCATTCATAGTCCACTCTTGGTCCAGTTTACTATGTGACAATACCATTGGCCACTAAAGAAATGGTCATCCAAATGGATTTCCAGCTCAAAATGAGGACTTTTCCAATTTCCCTGCCCTTGCTCAGCTCCTGACTCTTTAAGACCCGGTTCTAGCTCAGCCCTTACAGTCTATGTAAACTAAATGGTTCCTTCACTGCATCATCTTTTCTCAGACTCCCTAAGACAGTTTGCACTGATACTCTTTTGTTGGATACAAAGCCATTCAATCTCTGCAAAGCATTGGCGTTTTTATTGCCTATCAAATAATTATTAACAATTAGCTGTAGTAATGTCCGCATATACAAATCACAGGCTCATCCCCACGCCAGGGAATGGGGAACAGAGATGGCTTATTTTCCATCCTTACATCTTAGCTGGACATATGCCTCTCAAAGCACCCAAATGTGTTCACCACATCATTTTGAGAAATACTCTCTTAAAAATAATCTGGTGTATTTTAAAAACAATTTTGCTGGGTCACAGACACTATGTTTCTTCTTGCCCAAACACTTGCATGTTATGATCCTATACAGCAATTTGGTGGGTTTTTTTAAATAAAAAAGTCATGTAGCCCAGCAATAAATGTTGTGTGTGGGGGGGGGAGGGTACTGGGGGGAGGGCAGGTAGAAGAAAAACCTTCTAAGGGAATGTGCATCAAATGGGAACTTATATAAAAATATTTTATTGTATTAACAAAATAAACCAACTTGAAATTAATCTGAAATTCAAAATAGATTCTTTACTATGTTCTCTTTATAACCATGATGGTATCCAGCCTTGCATTGTTTGATATAAAAATAAACAAACAAAAAACGTTACCTTCTGTCCCAGAATAGAGTGAACTGTGATATGATTTTCTTTTTATTCCTGTTTGCCTCCTTACAAGGTAACTTCTGAAGAACTGAATAATATAATTCAGAATATAATGACCTGGGTTGTGGCTACCGTGACCAGTATATTATATCCAGCCATCACAAAGTATGAAGAAAGGTTGCACAGTAATAGATACCCAGTGTCTGATGGCTCTGTCCTCTCTTCAGATAGTTCAAGTTTCTGTAGCACATGCAGTGAAGAGTTTACATATGGAACTTACACATCTGCAACAACTGAAAGCTGTCAGAGAGAGCCCTGTGCATTTGCAGTTGACATATCAGTGAGTCAACCAACCTCACCTTTAAAACCACCTTCTGCAAATGTGAAAAGAACAGTTGGAAAAACGTCTCACATGAATGAACAATCTATAACATCTGCACTCAAAAATAATAAAACCAGCATGGTTTATGTATATCCTAAACTTAGAAGTTGTAAATCTGATAGTCACCTTTTAGTACCACTTGAAACAGGCATAAAAATATCTAACGATGCTACCACTGAAACAGATGGTTTACAAAGTGGAGAATTTTCTGATCAAAAAGCAAAAGCCATGAGTGAAATAAATAATTTAAAGAATATTTTTGTTAATTTTAAATGTCACTTGAAATGGGAAACTGAATTAATTTTAGAAAGAATTTTTGAAGAAATAATGTCTGACTTAACACAGGCCATTCCATCTATCTCTTCTGTTACTGCTGAAGTGTTTGTTGATCAAAGCGAGCCTGATAAAACAGGTTTGCTCTCCAATGCTGATATCTCCTCAGTAGCTACAGAGATTGTGGAAAATATGCTTGAGAAGCTACAGTCTGCAGTTGAGAAAAAATGTGTTGAGATGTTTTCACAAGAAGATTTGTCAGTCAACATAAAACCATGCTTAACACCCAGTGGAGAATATCTCACTCCATCAAATGGAAAACCTTTAGAAGCTTCACTGGCTTATCCTATGGAACCTATGTGTGATATTGCAGAGGATATGGTGCATGCCATTTTACAAAAGCTGATGACTCTTGCATCTTGTAAGCAAGATGGACTTCCTCATCTCGAAGATGCAACTAAACGTTCCTATCAGCAACATATGACAAACCAAACATTTCCATACCTTAAAAAACCTGACAAAAAGAAATGTAGTCCTGAATCTGATGCAGCCAATTTAACTATTAAAGAAGAAATACAAAATTTAATATCAAATATCTGTTCACAGTCCTCTTTGGTTGGCTATATAGAGGAAGTAATCAGCGCTATACTAGGATATATACAAACTGAACTTAATAATGAGAGGCTTATTGCCTCTGAAGAAACAGTAGTAGTCCTTCAGCTACTCGATGATATCTTCACTCAGCTGCATCAAGAGCCAGTGATGAAAGCAGATGGCAAAAAATGTAGACGCTCTAGACTGAGCAATCTTCCTGACCCTGAAGAAAAGTACAGACTCACTGGCACTAGGTTATCCAGTGGTCCTAGGTCTAGAAAACCATTTCCACCTATTAATGTTCCTGGCATGGTCCTTTATCCTGAAGATGATAATGAAGAAATAGACAAAATTGTGGAAAATGTGCTTGATTCATCTTTTAAAGAAGAAAAAGCAAAATCACAAAAACAGAATCCTGAAGATTGGTTTACAAAAGGAAAGACTTGTTTCGAATACAAAGGAAATCGCAAACCACCCACAAACCCTGCCTCTCCAAGAAGCAAAACTGCATTTTATGATGAGGGATTAAAGACTGAGTTACCATGTTTTAACCATCAAGAAATGTTAAAGAAAAGACCATGTCTGAATAAAGACATTTTGATTTTCAGCCAAGATCAAAAGCATAAAATACAAAAGGCTTCACAAAACATAGTTAGACGTATTTTAACAGAAATGCTTAAGGACATATCTTCCGTTCCTCCTGGTCACTTAGGCAGTAAAACTGGTAAAGAAGCTTCAGTTCTTGTTTCAGAAAAACCTCAAGGACTGTCACACCAAGAATGGATGGAACAGATGTTCTCTGTGTCAGAAATTCACACAGTGGCCCTGGAAATAACAGATGCTGTGCTAAATATACTTCATAACGCTTCGAGCTGCATTCCCAATATCACCAAAAGCCCCGGTTCTTCATCAGCTCATCAAACTTCTCTAGATAGTTCTGATACCCCCCACATTGCCAAGGAAGCACCAAATAAAAAGTCATTAAAATTATGGTTTGACAGTAAAAAGAAAATGAAATATTTATCTTCACTCGACTTACCTCCTATAAAACCTTTCCTGTTAAAATCTGAAGAAAGTGAACTTAAACCTGTAGATGACCTCACTGATCAGATCATTAACACAGTTTTCAAAAGGCTGAAGTTACTCATTTATCCAAAATTGCAGATAGGCTCCAAATCTTCACTTGCAGAGCAATCTTTCCTACAATCTCAACTTGGCACATACACAACTAAAGTGGTGAACATTGTTTTGCATGCTATCCAGAATGAATTAGAACCTGGTAAGAGAAACCTAAACTTTCCGGAGACAGACCGTGCCAAATCCCTTGAAGGGTCTTTAGCTGACACAGATAAATTAGAATCTCTGGTCTCAAGCCTTAATGATGACATTATGGCATCTCCATTATTAACCTGTATTTGTGAAATGTTATTAAGTGGACATTCGGATCAAAGCAGTAGTTCACTCCCTTCAGATAAGTCAAGGCGTTCAGCTTCCTATGGCTCTGACAATGTTGAAAAACAAAACGCTTTGCCAAGTAGCCAGGATAAAAAATATTTTCGTCAATATTTGGCTACTCCATGTGCTCTCCATAGTGTCTTTAATGGAAACGATCTCAAAGAGAATATGAGATTGCAAGTGTTAGACAGAATTGGGGAAACACTGTATGAAATGTCACATAAGCTCATAAGAGTCCATCCTGACTGCCAGCCACCTTGCAGGGGGCTAAACAGAAAGACAAAAAATGAGACTCAGAAAAGCACTACTGAACTGTGGTCTAATATTCAGCTCGTTTCCAAAACCATTTTGGAATATATCCTTGCAAAATTATGTAATATTGACATGGATACCACTTTTGCAAGTTCTGGAATTAAAGCTGTATCAGACGCTCTTGATATTAACAGCCTATCATTTGCTTCAATTATTGAGGAAATTACCAAATGTACTCACATGATCTCCAGCATAGTTTCCAGGCTGATGGTTCAGACAGGTGATGAAAAGGCGAGTAAACATGAGGCAAAAACTATTGCTCCTGCATCTTCCAAAATAGGGAGGACAAAAGAAATAGAGCCAAATAAATTGAAATCTGTGGCTTCAGATATTCTTACTATGGTTTTTGCTAAACTGGAAGGATTTGCCAATGGAAATTTGGAAACTTTGGATTCTAATAGTGATGGAAATAAAAAAAGTGGTAGGTTGGACTTAAAATGTGAAAGTACCAGCGTTTTCACAGACCCACGTGAAGAGCTATTGCAGTCTACTTTATACAAGCATGCAAAGAAGGTATCAAGTGCTATTTTGAAAGCCATTCAGACAGAATTAAATATGAACTCAGATTTGAGGACAAGTATAAAAACCCCACCATCTGAGAATCAAATGCTTAAGAATATAGTCAATTTAATTTTAGAAGCAGCATCACCAGGTATGTTTAATGAAACTGAATATGAAAAGAGGGGCATTGAAACTTATCGATACAGGCCAACCTATGGAAATCGCCTCCCGGGAGGAGCCGAATCAGATTCATTTTTAGAAGATGCTGAACATACAGAGAAAGAGCCCACTGGAGAGAGAACATCATCAAGAGAAGAAACTAAATCAGATGCTCTTCAACAATGGGTGCTAGAAAGAACCTTAAACAAAATTGAAGTGAAACTCAAAGAACCACAGAAGTCTCCGATCATTCCCATCATAAGAAATATTTTGAATGAAATATTTCAAGAAACTTTGGTCAATCAATTAAATGTGCTTTCTCTCTCCCATTCTCCTTTAAGGAACATTCCTCACAATGTTGATGAGCCAGTCGCTCAAACATCTGTTCAATGTATAGATAAAATGACAGGCCCTTTAGTGTCTGAAGCAGATGTAACCATAGTGTCAGATGACGTTGTTAGAATTGTATTTCATAAACTTTATTCAGCTGCCATGACAGAGAGAAATGCAAGTAAAAACAGGTATAAAACCATCACCTTTTCAGCCAATGTTTCTTTTCATGAACACACCTATGAAGAGGAGTCCTCTGTGCTGGACAAGAACCCATGTACTGTTCAGTCCAGATTCAATATTGACAAACAGGCCAGAGTAAATGTAGTTAAAGATATTGTACAGGCAATATTAACAAATCTAGAAACTTTTGCTACTCTCAAAGTAAAATCCCTTTTTTGTCCCCAAATCAACTTCACAGTCCCAATGGCTTTACCTGTTCAGCAGGATAAAAATACATTAAGCAAAACATTATCAGCTGACAATTCATATTCTGATGAACAATTTCCTTGCTGCCCGGTGGATCACATTACATCAGAAAAGACCAACTCGTGTCAACTCTCTGTAAATAAGTTAAATACGTATGCAACAGAAGTGGCCAGAAAAATGTTACAAACAATCAAACATGAGTTAGATAAAGGAAGGGAAAGTCCTTTCCTAACTCATAACATTGTGGTTTCTGAATGTATTGCAAGTCAAATTGTTAACACAGTGTTAGATATTGTATCGTCTAAAGGCAAATGTGACAAAAACAATTCTGACACAGAGATTAATTCAGATCAGCAAGAAGGTATTATTGAAAAGATGTTTAATAAGACTGAATATCGAAAAGCACTTCAGTTTCAAATACAAGATAGCATTGAAGGTATCTTATGTGATATTTATGAAAAAACACTGTATCAAAATAATCTCTCACTTGCCACACCCACTCTGAAATGCAACATAGCTGAGGAGCAGTCTGGAACAAATTCTGAAAAGTACACTGAAGGTGCAAATAAGATTATTCCAAAACTTTCAATTCCTAAGTCAGATGTCATTTTGATATCCAATGATGTCGTGGACATTATTCTTCATAATCTCAGTTCTGCTGTCGTGCTTGGCATAAATGCAGAGGACCCTACGTGTGCAAGATTTCCCCTGACCTTTTGTGATATGTTTCCACAAGCAGAGTGTCAACGGCTGCCTTTTATGGAGTTGAAAAGTGAAAGAAAAACAGAGTGTTTTTCATCTTCAAAAAATCTAAAATCAGCTTATGCTGATGACAGTCACATAACTGTAGTAGAGAAAGAAGGCACCAAGAAATCTGTTCCCGACCCATTTGAGGGAAATGCTAACTTTATTACTAAAACTATTTTTAATCGGTTAGAATCTTTTGCCACAGAAAGAATAGATTCGTTAATTACTTTAGCTTTCCAGCCTAAAGAAAAGTTGTTTGTTTGCCCGGAGCTGGAAAATTGTAAACAAGATGACAGCATATTTCATGAATCAAGTCAAATGGCATCAAATGTGAATGTCCTGAAAATATCAACTGAAAATATTCTCAGCCAAGGGCCTACACATTACACTTTTGCCAGTTACAGAGAAAAAGTTGGATCCACAATTCATCTATCACAAACTAGTCTTAAGGGATATGCTGACCTCATTGCCATTGTTGTTTTGAAGCTTATTAAAAATGACTTAGACCTAGAAATCCAAAAGGTGTATCCATATCAAAACAATATTTCATTCCAAGAAAACATCATTGTGAGTGAAGCTGTTAATAGTATCTTAAAGATTTTAAATGATAAAAGCTCTGTAAAGGAAATTTGTTTTCACTCAAAAGACATTCCTAATTCATTTTCACAACTAACCACATTAAATGGAATATTTCCAGGGCAAACAGAGCAGGACAAAAACACCAAACTCGCTCTGTTTTCCAAGAATCCATTAGAACAAAACCAAACAACACTGGAAGGGGAAATCCAGAGAATTGTTTTGGAAGAAATATTTATGAGAAATGGAGAATCAAAACAAAAAGAAAAAACTGCACTACTCAGTGCAGTGGAAGAAGTTTTAAATAAAGTGTATCAAAGAATAATGGAGATCATAGGCCATTTGACTCCATTTAATGAAATACTCTACTTTGTATCTAATTCTAAAATTAAAACATCAGACATAACACAAAAAAACTTTTTGCAATCACATGTTAACACTGTAGCAAATGACATAGTTGAAAGTGTTTTGGGAAAAATGTACTCTGTAGTTGTGACATCCTTATATGAAAGCAATAAAAAAGAAGAAGCACCTGACGATAATGATACCTTACCCAAGAAACCATCATTTAGTTCAGCCAGAGAAACTAAACAAGCAGGAAAACGAAGTACATCCACTAGATATGTTATACCACAGGTTTATCCTTATGCAGACAAAGAAAATGTCTCTGTATTGGAAAACAATGTTCTGCAATATTCACCACTGCAAGTGGCAAATGACTTAGTCCAAATGGTTCTCAATAAGATCACAGATTTTGCCTCATTTCACCTAGAAGAGATCCCGTATGCTGAAGGTTGTTCTGATGAGTTGCGATCTCTAAGGCTACGCAGTTTTAAATACAGCCTTAAGGGCAGCTCTCAGTCAGGCTTTAAAACAAGTTTAAAAGGAAGATCAAAAGTTACACCTTTGCCTAAATTTAGAACAAAACCACACCTAGTACCTCATGGTGCAAAGGCCAAAAGCAAGAACAAATTAAATCTTGGAGAGAGGACTCCAAAAGACAGCCGGTCCAAAGCTGTCATAGAGCTGCCACACATCCTGTCAACAGGAGATGCAAACAGCTTACTGGAAACAAAATTGCCCACTTCTGAATTAAAAATGTACACCAAGGATATAATAAGCAGTATCCTGGAAACAATTGTGGAGGAATTTGAAAAGATGAAGCAGACTAGAGCAATGGTAAACGCGAAAGCTTTACCATCTGATCAAATCATGGCAGCAAATAAAATAGTTACTACAGTTTTGCAAGGATTATATGCTACAAATAATCACAGTTTGGCTTATCCGATCAAATTCTCACATCTGGATGATCACAAACTGTCACAGGGGAATATAGGTACGGGTTCTTTGGCCAAAACACAAGCATGTTTTTACTTGGAAAATGTTTCTTCACAGCTAGAACAGATTTTTCCTAAAGATGGTATATTTAAAAAAATATTTGACAAATGGCAAACAGAAACAAATGACATGGAAAGTGGAAAATGTGAGCTCTTGATGATAGCCAAAACTGTTTTGACTAAAATTTCAAGAAAAGCAAAAGAATTAGAATATTCTCTTTCGTTTTTAAATTTGCCACATCTTGAGGACAGTGAAAACAGGTTCCAACATCGTTTTACAGGAACTTCTACTAGACCTGAAGATACCAAAGCACAAATTAATATGTTCAGTAGGGAAATTATTGAAATGCTATTTGAAAAATTACAACTGTGCTTTTTGTCCCAGATGCCTACCCCAGATAGTAAAGCAACTCTAACAAAGAAGAAACAGCACATTACTACTAAAAGTAAACGGGGCTTTCCAACCAAGGATAGCCTCAACAGTGACAAAAGTGAGACAAAAGACCATTCTTCTTTGGGCTCTAGCAAGCAGATTGTTCGAGAAATTGTAGAAAGAATTTTAAACACGTTAGAGTCATTTGTAGACTTGCAGTTTCAATGTATCTCTAAATATGAGTTTTCTGAGATAGTGAAAAAGCCTATAGAAAACTTTTTTTCTGTCCAACAGAGACTCTCAAGCAAAAAGATGTTGCCAACATTACAACCACTGAAATTGTTTTCTGATGAATCCAAGTCAAGGACTGTTATTTCTAAGGAAAATGCTCAGAATGCTCTTCTACAGGTTCATTCATTTCACTCAGAATTACTTACATATGCTGTTGATATCGTCAGTGACATGCTTGGTATAATTAAGAACAAGGTAGACAAAGAAATCAGCCAAGCAGAGCCATCTTCAATTAGCATATTGAATGAGAACATTGTAGCAAGTGAGATCCTTGGCACACTAATAGACCAGTGTACTTATTTCAATGAGTCTCTGATCAAAAACCTTCCAACGGACAGTTCATTCCAAGGAGTGGAAAACATCCACATTGTTAATCAGGTTGAATTAGCAAGTAATATGAAAATGCCAATGTCAAAGTTAAAGGAACTTAATTTTGGGAATAATACTCCACAAATTAGTATGCCTGGTGTGGGGTTTTATTCCAAAGAAGATGTGAAAAAAAGTATGTATAGGGCTTCATCAAATTTATCCTCATATGCCAGAGCCTCTGTAGAAGACACAATTAAAAGCACAGAGCCAATGGAAAGGCCTGATTCAGAAAATACACCATCATGCTCTGGAAACAAAGTACAAAACTGCAGCCCAAGGGAATCTAACTTCGGCCATTTGGATCAAGCCACAAAAGGAAATAGCTCCCTTCCTGAAGGGAGTGTCTTACAAAAACTGTTTAAGAAAATAAATGAATCCACAGAAGAAGCATTAAAGCAAGTTTTGTCATTCATGGAAATGGGAAAAGATGAAAATCCAAGTGTGTTTCATTATGAGACCCTAAAACCAGTTGTTGAGCCAGACCTAACTCAGACAACTGTTTCTCCACTCAAAGTATGTTTAGCTGCAGAAAATATTGTCAATACTGTGTTGTCAAGCTATGGTTTTCCAAGTCAACCACACATAAATGAAGGCACGGAAACAATGAAACCATTTTTCATATCAAAGCAAAACCCTGCAGGACAAGAGAATGAGAAGGAAAGTTTGCTGGGAATGTGCGATAAAAGAACCAGCTGTATACCTAAAGAAGAAAAACCTGAAGCCAGCGGGGGAGATTTTTCTTTATTGCAAAAATGGGGAAATAAGGGGTCCCCAACGACAAAGACTCTGAAGGAGCTTGAAGTCATTGCTTTTGCTGATCGTGAATTGGGTCCAAATGAAATTAACTTGGTAGCAAGACATGTAACCACATGTGTGATCACACATTTCAAGAGTTTCCAAACTAGAGGTAAGCAAAAGATAACTTACTTTAAAATTTGGCATAATTTAGAGAAAATAGTCAGATACGTTGAAAGATCTCCTGTCCAAGAAGCTATATTTACTGTTTTTCTGAAAATAGAGTTGGAGGTATGGTACTTAGTACTTCTTAATATATCAGGATACTAAAAAAAAAAAAAAGTTGAACATTCACATGGTTTGACTCTGAAAGTGTCCCTTGCTCAGTCTCCTATATCTGCAGGTGTGAGAAAATGAGGATATATTAAAGCAGAGGACTTTGGTTGAGCATGAGGTATGAAGTCCAAAGAGTTTTTAAAGTTCTTATGCATGCCTTCTTTATAATCATACCAAATTCATAGTTAATTGATTGAAGGTTTGTGATTCATCTTTTTGAGGTATACAGTTGAAGTATTTGCCACTATTAGTCACAGTTTATAAGAACAATGGTATTAAACATCATGTTTTATTTGCACTGCAGTATTCTTAAATTCCTTTTAGGTTGTAGTACTCTAAACATGTTCTTACAAAGACATTTTCATTCCGTTTCTAAGAATGCTCATCTGTATATGTTAGGTTGAACCATATGTAATAGCCATTTCTGTATGTCCAAGCCTGCCAATTACTGGCAATTTCATAAAATCAAATATAATACTATAATAGCCCTGAACGGGATCAATACTTCCAGTTACCAGTAATTAGTTGCACATTACCAGTCCAGATGTATCCCTTGCCCAACATCCAAGTAGGAGACCACATAGTACCAGTCCTAACACCTGCAGGAGGAGGTCATGTCCCATTCTTAAAACTGGAATTTTTTCAAAATGGACAGTTGTGTGGCTGCAATTGCAAGCTCGTCAATAGACTTTCTCCAAGGATAACCTAATTGAACTTAAAGAATTAATAAAGATAAAACAAACAAGAGAAGATTCATGATTCCATCCCATTGGTATTTGGCTCTTCTTTCAAATTGATTCTCTAGTCTTAGACATGCCCAGAGCCTTGCAGTGATTTCCCATGTTCATTCTTCCACATGGAATATTGTTACTTCATTCCTGTCATCTCAATATGGCCAAATACTGTCGAGCAGTCAAAGCTCAGCCAAAAGCCTCCTCTCTCTACAAAGAGTCACCTGATTCCATATGTTGAGGTATAACAGATGATTAAGTTCTGAGGGAGTTTAGAGAAAAAAAAGAGTGTGTTGCTCTACCATTCTAAGAAGTTGGCCATCCTAAGCACAGGTATATGGTTTGCAGTAAATATTCTGTTGAACAGAAGAAAGAATAGAGTTCTAAGTTTGGCTGGTTTGGGACAAACTTGGTGACTAACTGTACTCCCAGGGTTAAAGTACTACGGACATTGTCATCTATCCCTAACCTTTGTGGTGTTAGCACACTTTCATTTCAGTCAAGTTCACAACTCCTTAGCTTCCTAAAAGTAATACACAGTATAACATTAAATGTTTTGATTTAAAGTATTTTTTAAATAATTATTTGTCTCTGTAGATCACTGCAGACATGCTAGGATGTACCACTAAACTGGAAATCATTTTTATGCCCCAGGATTTCCAGGTTCTTAGAGCCCCTAAGCATCTAAGCAAGAGAGATTATCAGCACTTGACTTAGAGATTGAGTGCTTCGGGGTTATTTTCTCAACTTTCTGGCTAAAATTAAGATTCTACAAGGTGAGAAATGAATGTCAGGAGAAAACCCAATTTCTTTCCTGACTAGGTATTTTTTTTCTTTAGTGAGGTGTTCCAAAGGTGAAATTCATATGTAAATAGTTACCAATATATTGAATTTTTCATGTTTCCCTTAATGCATGTTAAAAATGGTAATGTTTTCTTTTTGTTTTTAAGTTCCCAGTGAGGAGAAGGTGTCTATTGTTTCTACAGTGTCAAAGAAAAAATACAAATCAAAACAGCCTCTAAGAAGCATATACAACAATTCTTCGCTTTATCAATTTTGTGACCATCTCACTGAGTCGGTCATTTGCCATTTAATTTCAAGCATTTCTGATAGCACCAAAGATGGCAGAAGAAAGGATAAAGCAAGTGAAAGCCAAAATGCAGCATTTAACGAGATTATTTCAATTGATTCTCAAGTACGTGAGAACAAGTCAATTGCTATTGGAGAACTTGCTTTCAGTATTTCTGAAATCATTACTGAGATCCTTTTAAATGATAACATTATAGAACCTGATATTACACAACAAATGTTGTCTTTAAAAACAAAATACATTTACTGCCCAGGAGTAGATGCTGCTGACTTTGATAATCTCTTTCAGGATCTCTTAATAGGAGTGATCCATGTACTGTCACAAGAAATAGGAATAACTCATCACCTTGAAAGCAATACGAAAAATAAACCATTTTTCATACTGAGAAGCAATAATGTGCCCATTTGCAACAAAACAAATGCTATGGAAAGACAGATAGACTGCAGAGATTTGGAATCATCTACTCACCAAATTGATCATCTCATTCAAAAAAATAAATTACATTTTCTGGCATATAAGTTAGACAGTCTGGTTGGTAGCCTAAAAAGTTGTGAGTCCAAAGAAGTAGTCAATAAAGTTTTCAATATTGTTTTAGATTTATTTTTACCAGATGAACACCCAGGTGAGGCTATGGATTCTGATAAAAAAGCAAGAACATTTTTCTCATTTTCAAATGATCAGCAAAATAATAGCGTACACTTAGGGCTCACCCCCAAATCAGTTTTCCTGCTCAATATCGTGTGTGAGAAACTTATTAGAATACTTTTGGAAAAATTCACAAACACTGTCTTTCTTGATAACGGCCCTCTTTCTGATGAAATATCAGCAGAAGAATATCGTCTTTTAAAAATGCTTCAAAGTTCAAAAGATGAAGAATTTAATTATTGTAAGGGAGCAATGGACTGTGAGCAATTTCAAAGAGATTGTATGTCAGACCTTGTGGAAAATCTGGCAGAAATGGATCAAGATTTATTGTCATCAGACTATATGCTTACTTTCATTTCCCATAGCTTAGTTAAATCACTGATGGACAAACTATGTCATGGTATGCAACTCCCCCAAAGCCCACCTTTTGCAAACAAGCAGTTCAAGTATAGGACAAGAGAAATGCAGTCCAGTTTCATAAAATCAGAAAGGCCAGAATTAGCAGAATTAGGACAAGGTAAAGGTTCTTTAGGATACATGAATTATGATGGTAATAACTTGGCAGGGTCCCTGAATAATCCCAATGTGTTTAGCTCCAAAATACAAGCACCATTTGGCAAGAAGTGTTCAGTAAATTGCTCTTCTGCGTCATCTCTTAAAAGGCAGAAGACAAAGGATATGGATGTAATAGCCATCCGTAAGCTATATATGGGTGATGTGAATGTAGGTGTTTATTCGGCCACATTTTTGGAGGCAATCATTTCAGAGCTGTTTTTTAATCTCTCTACTTCACTGTGGGGTAAACATGAACACATTACTGAAGCCCAGCTTAATGAGATGAATACACTATTTGTCAACAATGTAGTGAATGAGTTTAATAACGCAAGAGTCACCGTTCTACGGAATGCTGAAGAAAGGCTGTGTTTTCCACCAGTCCATAAAGAAACTGTTAGTAGGATTGTTGACTCAGTTTACTATGATGTTTTTCAGACATATAAATTAAAAGTGACCTGTGGTGGTAATCTGGCACTTGACAATACGTCAATAGCACAACGAATAACTAATGGCATATTGTTAGAGATTTTAGACTACCAACTTCCATCTTCCTTCAGGAAAAAGCTCATGCCTAATTCATATTACTCTCTTGAAGCTGAAATTATACTGCAGAAACTTCAAAATAACCTGAGAGAATTCACCTCCAAACCCAGGTCTTCAACAGGCTATAGCACCATGTTATCACACTCATTTTTAGAAGATATTATCAGAAGACTTTTATCTCAATTCATTTCTCCACCCAGTAAGGCTTGCTTTTTGGGAAAAAAGTATTTTATGAGCTCAGATTTTAGTGAAATGTCTACCTGTATAGTAAATAAGGTTATATCTGCCATTTCAAAACATAAAATTTGTTTCACTATATATGATAATCAACATCTATGTACAGAAAAAAACCTCCAGAAGATGGTGGATTCTGTTTATAGTAATATTGTGCAAACATCTGACTCTCCTATATCAATGCAGAAAAGTATAGTCAGCCGAAACCCAATTATGGTTGACCGAATAGCCAGTTTTATTATCCAAGAGATTATTGAAAATCACCTTCAACCATTTTTGTGTGAAGAAGGTTTGCCTCGGCCAAATACTCCATTGGATGCAATATCAAACATGGTTCACCAGGTTCTCAGTGAAGTCATAGAGGCACACAGACTCCAGACACCATTACCCTTAGGTATTTACCCTCATACATTTGTAGGGGAAATTGTTGCCAGACTTTTATCAAAGATTTTCAATTCAAAGCATAACACTGAAATTGAGCTGGAAAACATGACACAAAAAATAGTAAACTCAATAAATAACTACTTTAACAAAGCTAAAATTCACATTCCATGGGATGACAAAGAGCAGTCATACCCCTCTGTAGATGCAGACATTGTGGACGAACTTGTCACCTCAGTTTATACAAATGTTTTAAAACAGCATGGGCTGGACCCTGAGCTTGATAAAGAGTCTGAAGACAATGAAATTTTTGTAGAAAATATTACCAATTTAATTGTAGCAGCTATTTCAGATTACCTTCTTCATCCACTGTTTTCTGGGGATTTGTCTTCATCTTCCTATTCTATTTCTACAGCTGAGAATATTGTTCAGGACATTATTAATAACATCAGTAAATCTACCAAGCCAAGTCAGAGTTTATCTCCTTATAACACCTTGATGCCATACACATTTTTAGAAGACATGATCAGAGTACTATTATCTAGAATCTTTCCTTCTACATCTACCTTTTTTTCAAACAGAGAAACTCCAAAAGATACAGCAAGAGTGAATTTCAATGAAATTGCTTCAGATATAATCACTGATATCAGGATGAAAATTTCTCAACATGAAATTCTATTTTCAAAAGATGAAGAAGAAACCAAATTTGTTTATTCGGAGGATGATGTTCAGCATCTTGTTGACTCAGTATTCAAAAATATTTTACAAAACTCTGAATCTCAAGAATCAGTTGAGCAAAATATCACAAGTAACAATGATGTTCTTATTGATAGAATAGCAGGTTTTATCATTAAACATATCTGTCAACAACATCTTCAGCCATTTGTGGATGGAAAGTCATTGCCTTCTTCTTCATACACATATCTTGACAATGAGAGAAGTCAGTGGTTTTATGCCAGTGTTTATTCTTCAACTTTTTTGGAAGATGTGGTCTCTGGGGTATTAAGTAAAGTATTCCACAGGGTGTTGGGCATTGTACAAACAAAATCATTAAGAGATTCAGAAGATGAACTGTTCGATAAAGCTGAAAAACTCATACATTTGATAGCAGAGGAATTCTCAAAAGCCCAAGTTACCATTCTAGACAACGCTGAGGAACAATTGTGTTTGCCTCCAGTGGAGAGAGATATAATGAAAAACATTATTGACATGGTGTATGGAAACTTTTTGCAAGAATATGAAATGGAAATAATGCCCAATAATGATTTTCTAAATGATTTAAAGACATTGGCTGCAAGGATAACTAAAATCATCTTGGCTGAAACTTTTGATTTCCAAATTCATCCAAATCTCATAGGAAAGCTTCCTTTTAAGTCACACTCCAAACTAAATACTAATGTTTTGACAAAGAGAGTTCAATGTAACATTACTAAATCAAGATTCCAAAGACAGGTATCAACAATGTACACTACTAAGTTATCACATGCTCATCTGGAAAAAATCATCACTCAGCTTATACCTCAGATGGGTCCACTGGCCTCCAGTGCAGAATGCCCAGACACTTCTCAATCAGACTTAAGCAATACAATCATAAAACTGATAAATGAAATAATGTCAATAATTTCAAAACACGCAATATGTATTGTTAAACATGGCAATGAAAAACAAAGTATGATTTCAGAAAAAGATATCCAGTCTATGGTTGATTCCATTTATGCTGATCTTTCATATTCAAATCTATACCAGTCTCTTACAAAAGATAAAAAAGGTATAAGTAACATACCTGTTCCAAAAATAGCAAGTTTTATAATAAAAGAAATATTTAACCATCATCTTCAGTCATTTTTATCAGGAGATAAAACTTCCCTTTCAGCTGCAGTTGATCAAAATTATAAACAGAAAGCAAAAGATCCTAAACAAAGAGAGTTGTCTTTTATTGTAAACTCGGCAGTCTTTTTGGAGGAAGTAATTTCTGAGCTTTTATGTAAACTCCTTTATGCATTCTCACATAATGTCTTAGCTGCTGAAAACTCAGATACAGTAAAAGCCAAAATTACTGGCATTGTTACAGCATTAGTAAAATCAATTGTTCTGGAGTTCACCACATCAGAGATATTAGTTGCAGATTACATTGATTATGATGTGTGTGTTTCAGAAGAGTATAAAGAAATGGTTCAAAAAATGGTCAACCTAATTTATGAAAAAATATTAGATGAACATAAATCTCTGGTTCAAGTGTATAGGGCTATACAAAGTGACACAGTTTGTTTTGGAAGGAGAATATATCATTTGCTATTAGAAGAAATATATGACTATCAGGTACAATTGTTAGTTTTAGGAGAATTAGTGCCTTCTTCCTATTCATTCCCTCAAGCTGATAAGATCATCAGAAATGTGCTCAATGTCCTCATGAAAGATAGTCACACCTTGCCATCATGTATTACTGTGCTGCCTCGCTCACTTTTAGAAGATATGATTTACAAGCTTCTAGTGCATATCTTCCCTTCAACTGACACCGAAAGTGAACTTAAAGAGGAAGAGGCTTTACCAGAGTATGAGTTTATGGATGCAGTTTCAAAACTAACTGATGAAATTATTAAAGAAATTTATGAACATGAAATCCGCCTTGCCACGGCAGAGGAGAATGCAGAAAGTATGCAATTAGAAGTGACTGAAAAATTGGTTGACTCTATATGTAATAATATTTCGAAAAAACCTGAATTTCAAGCTGAAGTGCAAAAGGATGCAGACAGAAAAGGAGGCTCATTCCTCAGTAAAATAGCTGGTTTCATCATGAAGGAAGTCATGGATTATCATCTGCAGCCATTTTTACATGGTGAAGAATCATCTTCCAAGGATTATGACCATGTGTCTATACCTACTAAATCTGGTAAAGAAAAGACACAGGCTTCTCTATATTCAGCTACATTTTTGGAAGATGTAATCATTGACCTTGTTCACAAATTTTCTTCTTTTCCAAATATTACTGAAGATTCTAAGAAAAAAGAAATGCCAGAGACAGATGTTGTGGACTTGGCTATAAAATTCGCAAACTCTCTGATAAGAGAATTTAAGAAAAATGAAATTAAAGTTCTACCAAATGCTGAAGGAATGTTTTCTTTTCCAGCAGTTGATAAAGAGACAGTTGATAAGATATCCAATTTTGTGTACGATCAGTTCATAGCGAAGTACAAGTCTAATGAAATTCAGAAGGATGAAAAAAGTAATATTGTAATAGAAATGATTGCTGCTTTAGCCCAGAAGGCAATGTCTGCTTTCAAGATTCAACCACTTTTTTCAGGAGACTGGTCTTCCACAATCTTTTCATTTCTAAATCCAGATAACATCACCCAAAGGGTTCAACACCTACCACAGAAAACCTCTACAGGGATAAACAGATGCTTAAAAGGAAACCAACTTACTTTACCAGAACAATCATATAAACACACTTCTCTAACCTTAGACCAGAAAAATTTGTTGGGCACTTTGGAAATAGATAGAAGTAAAATCAACAGAAAGAAAAGTTTCCAAACTGAGGAGACATCAATTAAAAAGGGTGAAGTCCAAGATCTGGAAGTTACTTCTATGACTGGAATTATGAGATACGACACAGTTAACCTGTTACCAGGGTCAGCTGCAGGTATGGCAAATAAAAAGAAAGAGAATGAAAATAAAATGGGAAATACAATTCAAACCTATAATGACAATGTATCAAAAGTTACTTCTCCAACTTCTAGTGTGAAAAGTAAAAATACTCAGAAGCCAGGTTTGAGGGTAACACTTAAAAATAATGAAATTGAGAAGAAAAGCAAATCAGCTTCAAAAGAAGAAGCGAGGCAAGGTAATGAGATACACACACAAATTCCAGTAGCTACTGATGATGCAGAATATGAAGAAGAAGTACCTGGACCACATTTTGAAGTAAACAATGAGAAGATTGACAAAACAAGAAAAGTTGCATTTAAAATAGAAGACAATCTCATTCAAATATCTCCTTTGACATCCAAAGTGAGAAATACAGGGACCACAACAGAGAAAACTGAGAAAAGAGTAACCCAAAAGCCAAACACTAAGGAGAGAGAAGATGTTCTGCCTCTAATAGATATAAATAAACAATACTCAGATTATGAAGATGTTCAAAATGTCACTGAAAATATTTATGACAATATCTTAGAAGTAGGTTATTCTCCAGAATCAGCAGATTATTCAGATCTCCCAAGTCCCCCAAGTGATACTGCATTTCATGTAATTCAAGAAGTTGGCAAGGATTTTGCAAAGTCTGTTTCAAAACAGTATCCATCCCTCTCAATTAACAAAAATCTCCCTGCCAAAGAGAAAAAAGAAGAAAAAGAGACAGAGAAAGAAAGAGAGAGGGAGAGAGAGAATAAGAGGAAGCAACAGAGAGGAAGAGAGGAAAAACAGGCAGAGAAAGTGAAAGTTAAGGGGATTAAAAATGAACCTACTAAGTCAGATGATCCTCAGTACCCACGAAAAAGTGAACCTGGAATTTTTCCTGCTCAATTTTTAGAAGATGTTGTCACTGAAATGGTTAACAAGTTAATTTTTTCTACCTCACCAGAAACACAAACATGTGATAGATACAGAAATGTAAGTGATGGGGAAAATCAAGCTGAACTCTATGACACAGCTATGAAGCTTATTGATTCACTGTTAAAGGAGTTTTCGAAGGCTCAAATTAAGGTATTTAGGCCAGATAAGGAAAATCATTTTTTTCCACCTGTAGATAAAGTGTCATCAGCTCCTGAAGTACCTCCCAGGCATAAAGAATCAACTACAGATGAAGCATCATCTAGCATTAAGAAAATAACTGTGGATAAAATGCCACATATGCATAAAGTAACTAAAAAACCCTCTCTAAATAAGATGCCTTTCTTTGATAAAATACCAGCAATCGATAAAACATTGGTTAACAAAGTTGTTCACTCTTCTGTATGCAACATTTTGAAGGAATATAGATCTCAAGACTCCATTTGTAAGAACATAAAGAGTAATGGGGAAAATTTAGCAAAAAGACTAACTACTGCAGTGATAAATGAAATTTTTCAACATCAGCTTAATTTGATATTTTGTGATGAGGTTCCAGCTTCAGCATGTTTGCCTCTGGAAACTAAGGATGTTGTTATAAAGGTCCAAAATGTGGCTCAAATAGCCAACAAAGAATGTCAGACATCATCACCATATACTATTATGCTGCCTCATGAGTTTTTAGAGAATGTGATTTCTGCTCTTTTATCCAAAATTTTCTCAACAGGATCCAAAACCAAAGCAGAAACAGCAGAAGGTGATTGGCTCACAGAACTGGATTTCCTTCAAATGAAGTTATTAAGTACAGTCACAACAGAGATCTCCAAAGATAAAGATTTGCTTATTCAGTATGTGGAATCCTTACATCCCAATGATGATGAAATTATTCAATTAGTGGCTCATTCTATTTACATTAGTCTCTTTTCACAGTTTGGATCACAAGAGGTTATACAAAATTGTGTAGCCAGTGGATGTGTAATTCTTTCAGAAACCATAGCAGATTTAGTTCTACGAGAGGTGACTGGCAATCAGCTGCAGAACTATTTTTCTGGAGAGCTAACTCCACGTCAGTGTGCAGAAGTTGACAGTGCTGTTGAAAATATTCTTAAAGATGTTATCCAAACTACCGATGCTCCCCAGCCACAACCATCACATGCTCATTTACTGCCTTATAACATAATAGAAGAAATTGCCATAAAATTTTTATCAAAGCTTTTATCTGTGTTTCCAAAAGTGGGTAAAGAAAGAGCCAAGTATCTAGAAACTGAAATGCAAAACATTACCTCAAAAATATTAAACTCAATACAAGAATTTATCTCCAAAAATGAAATTAAACTGATACCGCCAGCCAAAAAATTGCCTGCTGTATCTTTAGCTGATAGGGAAAGCATTGAAAACGTAGTTAATTCTGTTTACACCAGTGTTTTAAAGCACTCTGGCTCTCATACTTCTATATTCAAAGATTTAATGGGTAAGAGTAATGTCCTCTCTGATATAATAGGTTTTTTAATGGTGAAGGAAATTTCCAATTCTGAATTTCAACCTCAAGTAGAGGAAGAAGTATCAAGTTCAGAATTATCTCTGGAAGCTGTCCAAATTATGGAAAAAGTGATCAAAATTGTTAATGAATTTAAGTCCCAGGAAAAGTCTTCATCCAAAAAAGGTTCTATGTTAGATGCCACGTTTTTGGAGGAAGCATTGGCCTTGTTCTTGGCTAAACTAATACAGTTGCCAAGTGCCTCAAGCAAAGATGCAAAAAACTTATCAAAACCTGAGTTAAATAAAATCGCATCTCAACTGACAAAATCTGTGACAGCTGAAATTTCCAAAAGTAATATTAGTCTTGTTACGACTGATTCTGAAGAGCAGCTTTTAAATTCAGAAAGTATAGAGATGATTTCTCAGATTATTGACTCTGTTTATAGTAATGTTCTGCAACAATCAGGAACCCATGAAGACCTTTACTATGATATAAAAGGTACAAACAGAGTCTTCCCTAAAAAAGTGGCTAGTTTAATTATTAATGGAGTTTCAGATGTTTCATTAGACACAGGTGGCTCAAAGAATTCAAATGCCAATCTCTTTGGAGATCTAGATATTGATAGAATTGTTCAAAAGGCACAAGAGCATGCTGTTGAAATGATCCCTGATACAGAGAAAGAAGAATTAGATCAAGATTCAATTGGAGAAATGCCAATTAAAATAGTTCCACATGTTGGGAATAAACCAATCAAAGTGGACCCAGACATTATTTCCGAACATTTAGCAGTGATTTCTATAAAAACTCAAACACTTGAGGAACTTAAGATGGAGTGTTTAAGAAAAACTGGACACAGCATTGCAGAAGTGAGAAGAGCATCAATAAATGGGGAAAGTTACCCCTCATTAGACATATCTAATGCAGGAAAGGTGAACAAAGAAAGACGTACTTCATTGAATACAATGGGACGACTGGACGTAAAACCCTTAGAGGTAAGTGCAAAAGCGATGGCAGAAGATCAGTTGAATCATGAGACATAGTTGTTCTGTGATTCCCTTCTTCAAATAGGTATTTTGGAATGAATTTGTTGTTGCTATTGCCCAGCCCAATAGGAGAATTGCATGGTTCAGCAAATATAGTCATATGGTTTACTGGGACTTGCCTTGTTAGCGCTGTGGCTCACTCTAAAGGTCTCAGGCTAGTGTTCCCAAGACAATCAGTTTAAACTGGCTTTTTGTTAGTAGAATGGGAATACAGGGACACAGCTTTAACAGTAAAATAAAGCTGACTGAAATTATAATCTTCATTTGAAAATTCAGTAGAAACACCATTTCGTACAGTTCCTGTAGTTCTTTGTTGTGAATATCTAAAGGTCCAATTAGAATATCAGGATATATGAAGTTTCAAAAATTATTTAAAGTAGCTTTAATTTCACAAACTTAAAGCTACACACCAGTAGTCCTCTTTTTACTTTAGCAACATTTATCAAGAGACATCAGACTACAAACCCTTATTTCTTATCATTTCACTTTATATTAGCCTTTCTCAATTTATTCTATAATCTCAAGAAGTACCCAGTTTCTTTCCTCTTCTATTTTGGTCTAGATCCAGCAGCCCTAATAATGCCATTTTTATGAACCCATTTCCTCTTACTATAGACCTAGCTCTGCCCTGCAGCTCGCAGGCCCCAAATATATTATAATAAATGGGACTTTAAAATGCCAAAATGATGTCCTTGTTATAAGGAAACTACACCACTAAGGACAAAAGAATTGTCTGGACAATGAAGTTACACTGATCCACTACACATTTTGACTTTTATCAAAGCCTCTTGTACCAATGGTGTTCACTCAGAGGACTAAGTGTGTGTAGGGTTATATTATCTGTGTCCTGGACAATGAGAAAAATAGGACCATTCTCCTGAGAGCATAAATTAGAAGTGAATTTTCTCAATCACTGTCCTACAGCCCACTGAACTAAGCCTCAGGGCTGGTAAATATGTTAATGAGTGCTTTATGCTTTCATACCCAAATACTGGGATTATAATGGGATGAGGCATAATTTCATCTCCTTTGTCTAAAATTGTGACAGTCTTTTCCAGCTCAAAAATTTCCTCTTTCATATGCATTCTCATCATTGCATTAATACATTGCTTGGTAGTCTTCATATATAAGTAATCCCCTGGGAATAAAATTTCTGTGAACAGACTATAGAAAAACATTACTTAAAATCAGTTTTTAATTATCTGTAGAATTCTCTGTCACAAATCTTACTGTTAGTTACCAACTCTCTTTGCTTAAGTCATTTTAGATTAAAAAAAAGATAATATTTAAACCAAACAATTACCTCTGTCCTCTGAAGAGGAAGAAAAGCCATACTAAAACAAACAAACAAACAAAAACAAAGAAGCAGACACAGAGAAAAAACTCTGTTAAGACATGTGCTTTGTACCAAATTGGGTACTAATGCTGTCTTTCTCCAGCACAGGGGCAGAGAAGAAACAAATAAAACAGTAAGTTAGATCAGAGAAACCAGATACTTGTTTACTCCACCTCAGGGCTTTATTTTTCATTTGAGGTACCATAAATTCCCAACACACTAGGCATATACACTATTAAAACCATATATAGTAAAAAATTTCAAAGCCATACAGAATGACTGGATTTTCTAAACCATGGGTTCTCTCCACTAACAAAGAAAATCAAAACTGATTGTGCTTTAATGTTTTAAAGAGGCAGTGTCTATATTTTGTTTTCACAGAAGATATTCTATTAGGGCACCATTATCTGGAACCTGGCTTACGATGTTTAAAAGGCATGTTGAGGTCTATGATTATTAAATCAAGTTAATTTGGAGGTCCTGTGGCATCATCAAAAACTACAAAAGTGGGGAAATTCTATTATTTAATTATAGTTGTCTTTGATCTGCCTTTAGACATTGAAAATGGAAAGTGGGATTTGATTAGGGATGTGAGGGGAAAAAAATGAAGATTTATGTTTTGAAGATTTTTTTTTGAAAACTATGTCCAAAGGATCAGGAGTGGAAGGATAGTGATTAAAGAGTCAAAGACTTCACAATTTTGGTTATTCATCCATTAAAAATCAAGATTAGATGACACTTTGATTTTTTATTGACAAAAATTAGGTCTCTTTATGATTCATTATCTAGAATTTTAGAAAAAAATAGATTATTTTGTCTACTTCTGTCACAAAACTTTAGAAGTAAATGGGGAAAAAAGTAAATTATGATGCAACAAAATATAAAGTTTAAGAAAAGACCCATGTTAGACCATCTATGCTTTGAAGTAAGTTATGGTGTATTACTATGTAAAGTGAGTGTAAAAGAAATGATAGACACCAAAAATTTTTTTAATTAAAGTTTATTGGGATGATATTACCTTTGTATGTTATTTACTTGTATGTTACAAATATTTTAAGAAAAAGGAACAAATGAAAGTTATAAGAAATATTTGGTATCTCATAATTTTCATTTGTTTCTTTTTCTTCTTAAAATATTGCTAATATACAAGTAAATAGCATATGAAGGTTATACTACATAAAAATACAAATCATATTAACATAGATATAATAACCATAGGAAAAGTGATTGAGGCATTTGTTTTTAATATTCATCATACCTTCAATTCCAGGTGGTTTGCAGAAATTCATTTCAGAATGTAAGAAAGCCTGATATCATGAAGGTGGAGCTTTTAAAAGATGTTCAGAGCAAAAAAGACCTCATCATCCGATTAGTGGCTCATGATATTGAAGAAGATGCAGAAAGTAACATAAATGAGGGACTAATGTTTGAGGAAGGTGAAGTTGTTCTAGGAGAGATTGTACCAGACAGCTTAGGAGAACAACTTGAAGATCAAGTGAAAGTAACCACAAAGCTAATAGAAAGCAAAGTTGTTTCTCCCAAGACAACATGCACCAAGAGCCTGAAAAAGGTTTTGTCAATAAGTAAATGTTGTCAGACCACATCCAGTGTAAAGATTGACAGCACAGAAGCAACTTCAAATCATATAAAAGAACCTAAGGAGAGACAAGTTAAAAGAGCTGTTGCTGAGCTTGACATGGCCACCTGCTCAACAACCACGCCTGTAACAGACTCTTCTTGGGGGAAAAAGCAACCACATAAGGTGAGTGAGAAACTCATGTCAATGACTAGATACCTATGGAAAGAATAGAGATCTTCAGAAATCCTGTCCAAAAATGTACTTAATTAGGAAGAACAGAATACTAAATGGTTCCAGTTTTCTCCTAAATCTGGTAATATTTACAGGATAAGAAAAACAATTAACAGAAAAGCCACAGAACTCAACTGAAGGAAAGCAAATAATGGAAAGAGAGCTATTATTATTTAGAGCCCAATGAAAAACCATGTAAGAGAAATGAAAGCTAATTGTTTATATCTATTACTTAATATATTCTAGCCTTTTTGTGACCAGAAAGTGGGCCAAGGTAGGAGGAAATAAAAAGATACACACAAATTCAGATTGTCTGGGCTTAAAATAAAAATTATTTGAAGAAATAATGGCTGAAAACTCCCCTAATCTAGGAACAAAAATAGATATCCAGGTCTAGGAAGCCCAGAGAGTTCCAAATAAGATGACTCCAAAGAGAAATATATGAAGACACACTATAATTAAAATGATAAACAAAGATAAAAAGAAAATCTCAAAAGCAGCAAGAGAAAAACAACTTATTACACACAAGGGAAACCCCACAAGGATAGCAGAATGTTTAGCAGAAATTTTACAGAGCAGAAGGTAGTATCATGACATATTTCCAGTTCTAAAAAGAAAAAAATTCCAACCAAGAATTTTCTATCTGCTAAGGTTATCATTCAGAATTGAAGGAGCAATCAACAGTTTTCCAGATAAGCAAAAACTAAAGTTCATCATCACTCAACCGGCCTTACAAAAAATGTTGAAGAGGATTTTTTCTAAACTGAAAAGAAAATGCACTAATTAATAATAAGAAAACAATTGAAAGTAAAAATCTCACTGGAAAACAGAAATCTATAGTAAAGGTAGAGGAGCAATCATCTATAAAACAAGTATGAAGGTTAAAAAACAGTAAAATTAACTAAAATAATAATTAGTTAAGAGAAGCATATATTTAAAATGTGAATGTGTCATTAAAAATAAAAAAAAATATGCAGGGAATAAAAATGTAAAGCTCTGGAATTCAAGTTGCTAACAACTTAAAATAGATTGTTATATACTTAGGATATTATATGTGAACCTCATAGTAACCACAAAGGGAAGAAAAAAAAACTAGACAAAAGAAAATGAGAAAGAAATCTAAGCATAACACTAATAAAGCTATCAGATCACAGGGAAAGAAAGAGAAGAAGGAACAGAGTAACAACAACAACAAAAAAACAGCCAGGGAACAAGTTACAACATGGCAATAAATACATATCAATAACTACTTTCAATGTAAATGGACTAAATCCACCAATCAAAAGACAGTACCTGAATAGCTAAAAAACAAGACCCATTAGGCAGCCAACTAGAGATTCGCTTCAGAAGTAAGGACACAGACTGAATGTAAAGGGTGGAAAAAAATTATTTCATGTCAATGGAAACAAAACAAAAAGCTGTATAGCTATACTCATATCAGACAAAAAAAAACCCATTAAAATAAAGGTTGTATAAAAGACAAAGAAGGGCAATACATAATAATAAAGAGGTCAACCAAGCAAGAGACTATAACACTTATAAATATATTTGCACTCAACATAGAAACACCAAAATATGTAAAACATATATTAATGGACCTAAAAGGAGTAGTACAATAATAGTAGAGGACTTTAACAACCCACTTACATCAATGAATAGACCTTTGAGAGAGAAAATCAATAAGGGAATATCAGTATTAAATGACACAGACCGGGTGAACAAGAAAGGAAGACAGGAAGGCAGGAAGGAAGAAAGGCAGGCAAGAAGGAAGGAAGGAAGGAAGGAAGGAAGGAAGGAAGGAAGGAAGGGAGGGAGGGAGGGAGGGAGGGAGGGAGGGAGGAAGGAAGGGAGGAAGGAAGGAATGATTAATCTAAAAGCAACGAAATACACATTTTCCCCAAGTGCACAAGGAACATTCTCTAGGACAGATCACATTAGGCCACAAAACAAACCTCAGTAAATTCAAGAAGGTTGAAATATCAAGCATCTTTTCTGACCACAATGGTGTGGAACTAGAAATGAATTACAAGAAAAAACTGGAAAAACCACAAAAACATGACAATTAAACAATATGCTACTGAACAACCAATGAATCACCAAGAAAATCAAAGGGTAAATTAAAAAAAAATACTTTGAAATAAAGGAAAACAGAAATAACATAACAAAATTTATGGGATGCATCAAAAGCAGTACCAAGAAGGAAGTTCATAGCAACACAGGCCTACCTGTGAAAAAAATTTCAATCTAACTTTATACCTATATTAACTAGAAAAAAAAATGAATTCAGAAGTTAGTAGAAGGAAGGAAATGATAAAGATCAGAGCAGAAATAAATGAAATAAAAACTAAAAAGGCAATAAATAGAAAAGACCAATGAAACTAAGAGCTTATACTTTGAAAAGATAAAATTGACAAACCTTAGCTAGACTAACCAAGAAAAAAAGAGGGCTCAAATAAAATCAGAAATGAAAGAGAAGTTACAACTGATACCACGGAACTAAAAAGCATTTCAAGAGACTACTACAAACAAACACCAACAAATTGAACAGCTTGGAAGAAATGTATAAAAACCTAGAAACATACAATCTTCTAACACTAAATCATGAAAAAACAGAAAACCTGAATAGATGAATTATTAGTAAAATATTTGAATCAGTAATCAAAACCTCCCAAGAAATAAAGTCCAGTGCCAGACGGCCTCTCTGGTGAATGCTTCCAAAAATTCAAAAACTAATTAATAGGTATCCTTTTCAAAATCTTCCCAAAAGAACTGAAGAGCAAGAAATACTTCCAAACACATTTTACAAGATCAGAATCACCCTGATACTAAATAGAGAAAATACACCATAAAAAAGTAAGTCACAGGGCAATATCCTGGATAAATGTAGATATAAAAATCTTCAACAAAATATTAGCAAGCTAAATTCAACAATATTTTGATAGGATTATACAAAACAATCAAATGGGATTTATTTCAGTGATGCAAGGAAGGTTCAACATCCACAAATCAATCAACATGATACACTGCATTAACATAGTGAAGGGTAATCTAAAGCTAATATGCTCATTCAATTGATGCAGAAAAAGCATTTGCAATAGCTCAACATCCATATATGATAAAAATTCTCAACAAAATGGGTATACAGGGAATAAAATAAAGGCCATACATGACAATCCTACAGCAAATACAACAGTGTCAAGCTGAAAACTTTTCCTCTAAGATCAGGAATAAGACAAGGATGCCCACTGTCCTCACATTTATTCAACATAGTATTTATTGGAAGTCCTAGCCATTGCAATTAGGCAATAAAAAAAAATAAAATGCACCCAAATGAGAAAGGAAGATGTAAAACTGTCGCTATTTGCAGTTGATATGATACTATATATAAAAAACATTAAAGACTCCAGCAAAAACAAACAAAAAAACACAAAAATCTGTTAGAATAAATGAATTCAGTAAAGTCACAGAATTAAAAAAATACAATATATAAAAATCTGTGGAATTTCTATGCACTAATAACAACTATCAGAGAAATGAAGAAAGTAATCCCATGTATCCAAAAGTATAAAATATTCTAAGAATAAATTTAACTAAGGAGGTGAAAGACCTATACAATGAAAACTGTAAGACACTATTGAAATAAATTAAAGACAAAAAAATGGAACAATATTCTGTGCTCGTGAATTGGAAGAATTCATGTTGTTAAATGTCAATGCTGCCCAAAATAATCTATGGATTCAGTGCAATCCTTACCAAAATTCCAATGGCATATTTCACAAAACTATAACAAGTTACTTTAAAATTTGTATGGAGCCACAGAAGATCCAAATAGCCAAAGCAATCTTGAGAAAGAACAAAGCTAGAGGTATCATGTTCCCTGCTTTTAAGCTACACTACAAAGCTGTAGTAATTGAAAGAGTATTGTATTGGCACAGAAACAGATGTACAAACCAATGGGACAGAATTGAGAGCACAGAAATAAACCCACACATGTGTGGGCAATAAATTTGTGACAAAGGGGCCAAGATCTATAATGGGGAAAGGACAGTCTCTTCAGTAAAAGGTGATGGGAAAACTGAGCAGCCATATGCAAAAGAATGAAACTAGGCAACTACCTTTTACTGTACACAAAATTAACACAAAACAGATTAGACTTGAATGCAAAACCTGAAACAAAATTTCTAGAAGAAAACAGGCAGCAAGCTCCTTGATATTGGTCTTGATATTTTTGTGTATCTGACTCCAAACACAAGGGAAACAAAATAAAACTAAAAGCAAAAGTAAACAAATAGCACTATATCAAACTAGAAAGCTTCTTCACAGTGAAGGAAGCCATCATTAAAACAAAAAGACAACCTATTGAATGGAAGAAGATATGTGCGAATCATACATTCGATGAGGGTTTAATATCCAAAAATATATAAAGAACCCATATAACTCAACAACAAAAACATACAACTCAATTTAAAAAATGAACTGAGGATTGGAATAAATATTTTCCCAAAGAAGATGTACAGATGGCCAACAAGCACAAGAAAAGATGTTGCAATCACTAATTATTAGAGAAATGCAAATCAATACCACATACCTGTTAGAATGGCTATTATCAAAAAACAGAAAATAAGTGTTGGGGAGGATGTGGAAAAAAGGGAACCCTTGTACCTGTTGGCGGGACTGTAACTTAGTGCTGCCACTGTGAAAAACAGTATGGTTTCTCAAATTATTAAGAACAGAACTACCATATGATCAGCTATTCCACTTCTGGGTATTTATCTGAAGAATATGAAAACATTAATTCAAAAAGATATACTCATATGCATCCCTATATTCATTTGGCATTATTTATAATAGTTAAGATATAGAAGTAACCTAAGCATCTATCAATGAATGAATGGACAAAGAAGTTGTGATTATATATAAATGGAATACTACTCAGCCATAAAAAATTACTTAAATCTTACCATTTGTGACAAAATGGATGGACCTTAAGGGTGTAATGCTAAATGAAATAAGTCAGAAAGAGAAAGACAAATACCATGTAATTTCCCTCCTATGTAGAAATAAAAAAAAATAAGTGGAAAAATAAAACATAACAAAACCCAACTCCTAGATACAGAGAACAGATCAGTGGTTACCAGAGGGAAAGGGGATAGGAGAGGGGTCTGGGTAAAAGGGAGGCAGGGGGTCAATTATATGGTGATGGATAGTTAATAGACTTTCGAAGGTGATCACATTTTAGTGTACACAGATGTCGAATTATAATGTTGTATACCTGAAACTTATCTAATAATAATAAATGGAAAAAGAAATGTTATAGAATTACATTATCAATAGCCTTTTTTCTGAGATTCTAACAGACATCAAAATAAAAGTATTCTCATATAAAGTATGGCCATGAAATTGCACATGACTTCCCAACAAATAGATCACACTATAAGTTACGATGATTGACCTAACAAGCTTCGGAATTGGCCAGAATTATATCTGTTCTTTTTTATTTTTGAACTCAGTAAGATACGATTAAAAATATCAGTCAAGTGCAGAAATGGAAAACTACATTCTTCATTGTGATAGGTTTATCTTTCAAATCTATTCAAACTCCAATATTATTATACAGATCATCTTCATTGAGCCACTTCCAAAGAATTATATTGGAAAGACATTTTAATTAGAATTATAGGGTTTATCCATCTTTTAAGTAATCTCTAAAACTTTTTTTCATTATATTGTAGAGTACAAAATATGCCAAGAAGGTGATAAAGTACACATCAAACTCTACCTTATGTAATACCTGCTTTTCATTTTTCCAGAAAGAAGAAATAAATCCTATTACTGAACCAACACATTACTTCATACACAGAATTATGAGTTCATCTTCATACAACCAAGAAGATCTGATTTCATCTGCCAGGTACATAAAGTTAAAATAATATAAAAGTAGAAATTTGAGATGAAAGTATTGCTTATGGGAAGAATGGCGTCCATGGTAAAACTCTGATTGGGCAAGCATTCAGTGCTAAACCTTCCTTCACTCCTTATTCTTCCTTTCCAAAGCTCCCCGCTGTGGGCACTTCCTAAAGCTTCCCATTTACTTGATCCTCCCATTTTTACTTTTCTGCCCTCTGCATCCTTTAGTACAACTGTGTCTTAGATCAAGAATTTGCTAGTTTTTTATGTGGAAAATAAGCATTGGGTCATAATAGTATCTGTACCACCTGCACAAAGGGTTCTTGCTCAAATCTCTTAAGTAACTAAATGTCCCAATAGTGTAACTGTCTGTAAGAATAATCCAAAGGAGAGAAGGAGTAGTGTAAGTTGGTGTACCCAGAGATAAACTTTAGAATGCAATGGAATGTGATGTGGGACTATAAGTAAAAGCAGCATTTACATGAGAAGAAGACAACCCAAGTTATGATGGCTACAGCAGCAGAGTCTGGACTGTGTGACATTTATAGAGGACAGAGAGAGCAAAGTACACTGTAGAATTGAAATCTGATTAATAACTACAATACAAGTCTAGAATAGTTTAAACTTATCTAGAATTGTTCTTAAGCTTATATGAATATGCATAACCTTGAAGAGGCAGCATTTTCTATTGTGGGAGAAGCAATGGGTATGAAGAGAAATGGTTGCACTTTTTTCCCATATAGCATAATGGAATTGTTTCTTTTTGACACTCTATTTTGGGACATCTAGTTCTGGACCATTATTGCATCTTCTTCCTGTGTAGTGGTTATTTATACATACATAATTACTAATGCAAGCACCTCTCTATAATTTATATTAATGATAAAGAGAAGGGCACAGATAATACAAAATAAAATTCAATTTAGAGAAAATGACAGAACAGAAAACTTCAGTCAAATGTCAGCAGCAACCAAGTGAATGGTCAGTCAAGGAGAAGCCATATTCAAAATGGTAGGAAATTTCACAGATTTTTACTTGCCCTTTCCCAATCCCCTCTGCAACATGATGTGGCACAGTGGGTAGAAACAGCCTAATTCCCAGTTCCTCCTTATGGAATGGAAGGAATAGACTATAACTTGTCTGCAATATTCTAGCCTATCTGTGGACTGTCTGAGGAAATATTTTCTGTCTCACCTGAATAAAAGCTCAGATTGGGAGCAGTTCTATAGTTTGGATTTAAGCCTGGAAACCACAGAAGGCAGTCGATAGGGGACTAAAGATGCACAAACACCTTAGGCCCTGAGAAGAAACATGATGAGAATTTAAACATTTAAAATAGATCAAGAAAACATTTAAAATAGATCAGGAAAACAGAAGAAGACAAAGAAAAGTACAAAATAGGCCCAAAACAACAAAAGACTTTAAAGCTCTAATTCAGGTTGTTCCCAAGGTTCAGGGTCCTGCTAATTAGTGACGGGCTTCCACACCGATTTCCAAAAACTGGGAGAAGTAGCTGTTTCTTCAAATGTCTATTTTTTACAAAAGATCACAATGCACATAGAGAAATATGGAAATAGGACCCATTTAAAGAAACCAAATAAATCTCTAGAAAGTGTCCATAAAGAAGCACACCAAAAGGATAAACACTTTAAAACAACTGTCTTTAATATGTTCAAAAGCTATAGGAGAACACAAAAAAACTAAAGGAAATCAGAGGAAAAGTATATGAACAAAATGAAAATAAAAATAGAGATATAAATTATTTAAAAGAACCGGACAGAAATTCTAATGCTGAAAAATAAAATAGCTGAATTGAAAAATTCACTACATGACTTAATCAAGAGAAGGCTCAAGAGAAGTTTCAAAAGAATGCTCAATCAAGCAGAAGAAAGAATTAGTGAAGTTGAACACAAGTCATTTGACGTTATTGCATCTGAGAAGCAAAAAGGAAAAAAGAAAAAAGAAAAAAAGGACTGATAAAAAGGTGAACAGAGCCTGAGGGACTTAGGGACACCTTCAGTGGACCAATATATACGTCTTTGGAATTCTGGAAAAAGAGAGAATGAGGCAAGATTATTTGAGGAAATAATGGCTAAAACCTCCCCCAATTTGTTTTTGTTTGTTTTTTTTAAGATTTTTTTTGGGGGGGGGGAACTGGGAGGACAGGAACAGTGCTGGGGAATTGGGGGAAGGGGAACAGACAAGTTGCTGTCCTTTTGTTCCTCAGTCCAGTTGTGGAGGGCAGTGTCATTGGCCCTCATATGTGGGATCCGAACTGGGGCCCTCTGGCGTCCCAAGCCAGTTCTTAACCATCGCACCACTCAGCCAGCCCCCTCCCCCAATTTGGAAAAATAACTATGACTATACAAATGCACCAAACTCAATGAATCCTAAGTAGTGTAACTACACAGAGACAACACAGAGACATAATCAAACTATCAAAAGACAAAGACAAAGCAGCAAGAGAGATGACATGTCATGTATAAGAGATTCCCATAAAATTATCGGTAAAATCTTCAGAAGAAACATTCCAGGCTGGAAGGCAGTGAATGATATATTTAAAGGACTGAATGAAGGAAAACTATCAAATGAGAACTCCATAAGCAACAAAAATACCCTTCAAAAATGAGAGAGAAATCAAGACACTGTAGAACAAAAAAAAAAAACTGACGAAATTCATTACCATTAGACATGACCTAAGAGAAATGCCAGAAGTTCTTCAAATTGAAACTAAAGGATGCTAAACAGTAACTCAAATCATATGAAATATGAAGTTCTCTAGTAGGTAAATACATGGACAAATATAAAAACTAGTATAATAATTTTGGTTCATAACTCCACTTTTTATTTTCTGTAGAATATAAAAGACAAATGTGTAAAAAATATAAATCTATGCTGATTGGTATAGAATATATAAAGACATAACTTGGGACATCGATAACACAAAGCAGATTAATCTATAAAGGAGTAGAGTTTTTGTATTGAAGTCAAGTTGGTATCAATTTAAGATAGACTGTCATAACTTTAGGATATTATAAGTAATCCATGTGATAACAACAAAGAAAATATCTACAGGATATGCAAAAAGGAAATGAAAAGGGAATCAAAATATATCTCCACAAAAAGGCAATAGTGGAGGAAATGATGGATAAAATAAGCTATGACATACATAAAAATAACAAAATGGCAAAAGTACTTGCCTTCCTACCAGTAATTATTTTAAGTGTAAATGGATTAAACACTCCAATGAAAAGAAAGA